TTGAGAGCTCGACAAATGGGTATCTTTGACGATGCCCATGACAGAAGCATAGCTCAAGGCTGTTTTGTCGAAATATTGCACCGTGAACGTCAAGAACATCCAGGGGATGATATGACGGTCGATGATCCGCCGGATGCGCTTGTTGTCTTCGGCGCTGTACGTGACAGCTTCACCGACAACATATGAAAGCGCAGCGTCGGCCTCTTTGGTGACTTTGACAGGTTCCTCGATGTCGAAGGTTTTTTCGGCAGCAACAGCATCCTTCCTGTCCTCGGTAGTCGGCGGCATTGTGGGCTAGGAGATATACAACGTGCGCTTCTCAGAGCACCAGCAGCTTGTGCATGCGGTCGCAGTCGAAATTTTGTCGGATGCTGGTGATGACAATGAAGCAAAATTGGACGAACATGACCCTTCTCCCTCGACGGATATTCTCCAGTCAAGTCATTGTGTCTTTATACCTGCAACGACACAGGGCAAACCCTACAGACCCAACGAGCGAGCTCCTCTTCCCCGGATTCGACCCAGAACCAGCTGTAGGAAAGCCACGAAGAGTGCCGAGACCATGGCGATAATGATAAAAAAGGGGATAGCCTAGAGTTTTTCATTGTCTCGAGGTCAACTCCGTTGCTAATCTCGCAGTGGCAAATCTTGTCCCTTGGCAAATGCTGGAGAGTTTCTGCCCACTGGCACAAACCCCAGATGTTTCTGGGAACTAGAGTCAATCAGACCATAATTCGGGAAGACCATGAGAGTATATCTGCGCATTACCCGATTGGCCCATGAGAATCTCCACAAGAGTACCACTCGGTATATTTCTCCACCTTTTCCATGCCAAACATCTGTCTTCCAGCCCTGTATGGAGATGAACTGCATCGCGGAGTGTTTCTCCAATCTCGCGTAAACCCGAGGTCGAGCTCCGCCCGCTGTGTCGAGTGTGCCGGCAAAGGCTCAAGCAAACGTGTACCGAGTACTCTCTAGGATGAGATGTGGACATGTCCAGGTCCATGGCCGATGTTGAGATGTATGGTTATCGTTAAAAAGTTGATACAATTCCCGCTAGTATCAGACACATAGATTCGCGAGATAACTTTTTTCTTCTGTGTCTGTCTCTTCGATACATGGTATTGCTCGATCTTACCTCCCGACAGCCCTGGAGTCATATCATCAACGAGATAAGCCAATGGGTTCAGAACCGGAAGGGGTCCAATCGCCAATTGTGACCCTGCCGCAAGGAAAGCTGAAGGGTATCGTGCAAACAGATGGACTGCCTCAGCCGGTCGAATGTTTCTTGGGTTGCCCTTACGCGCAACCTCCAGTGGGAGCCCTCCGCTTTCGACCACCTGCTGCCCTCGAGCCCTCGACCGAGACGTTTGACGCTTCGAGTTATGGCAAGGCCGCCCCAGGAAACCCTTTGATTCCGCCTCGCATCCCTCTCGTCTACGGCGAGGACTGCTTGACGGTAAACATTTTTAGACCAAGGCCGAAGCACGCCGACGGCACTCTTTTACCAGTGCTCGTCTACATCCATGGAGGGGCGTTCAACCGGGGTAACTCATCAATGCAGAACACCGCGTCCATGGTGGCCTGGTCGGAGCAGCCTTTCGTGGCCGTGTCGTTCAACTACCGCGTCGGGGCACTTGGGTTTCTCCCATCCAGGAGATCTGCGGAAGAAGGTATTCTGAACCTGGGGTTCCAGGACCAAAGGTTCCTGCTCCATTGGGTCCAGGACAACATTCACGCATTTGGTGGTGACAAGCATAATGTGACCCTGATGGGACTGTCTGCCGGCGCAATTGCTGTAAGTTCTCCAAAATCCCTCCTGGAAGGGAAGCAAAGCTGGATCTACAACGAGATGAGGGTGCTGACCACTCAAAACATAGATTGGACACCTGATTCTTCACTACAGCGACGATAACCCCGGTCCGTTCCACCGAGCAATCATCCAATCTGGATCTGCCATGACGAGGGACTGTCGACGTTACGACGCCGACGCGATTGAACGATACTTTCAAGACTTTCTCGCCGCGACGGGCTGCCGACAAGATCTCCCCGCGGCCGACACGTTCGACTTTCTCCGCAAGCTGCCCCTCTCTGTCATCTCTGCGGCCCAAGATACCGTCTTCAACAAGTACAAGGCTACGATGCAATGGGCCTTCCGGCCCGTCATCGACGGTGATATCATTCGCCAGGCCCCGACCGAGAGCTGGCGCCAGCAAAGGTACTACAAAATCCCCATCTTGACCGGGTTCTGTTCGCACGAGGGATCGTTGTACGTGGACAAGACACTGTCCAAACCCGAGCAGTTCACACAGTTCATGCGGGTGCTGCTTCCCAGTTTGCCTGACGAGGACATTGCCCGGCTGGATGCGCTCTATCCGGATCCGTCGACCGGCGATCCCACGTACCAAGATGAGCGTGTCAGCAGCGTCGGTATCTGGCCGCAGTTCATGCGTACAGAAGCGGCGTATGGCCAATTCGCTCTCATCGCCCCGGTCCGCCAGACTGCACATTACGCCTCGTCCCTGCCGGGCGCACCGCCCGTGTACCTCTACCACTGGGACGTGTGGACGACGCTGCTCAACGGCGCCGCGCACGCAGACAACCTGAAGTACGAGACATACGACCAGGAGACCACGTCGCTCTCCGGGGCGCAAAAGGAGGTCTCGGGCATGTTCCACGCCTACCTGACGAGCTTCATCTGCAACGACGGCGATCCAAACAAGTTGCGCGGCAGATACAAGCATCGACCAGAGTGGAAGCCCTACACCCCCGATCAACCGCTCACCATGGTCCTGGGAAAGGGGAATAGGGAATTGGTCGGCGGCGACGCGGGGATGCCGGCTGAGTTGGTCCACGAGACTTGTTATGATGAACAGTGTCAGTTTTGGTGGGAAAGGACGCCCATTACACAGCGGTAGTTCAAAAGTAGCGATTTTGAGCCATACGTCAGAGGGGTGATGGATGGAGCAGATTCAGGTCCTGGAACTACTATGCTATTGTTTTTCTAGATAACCCCCTTTAGCCCGGCTAATACCCGAAAACTATTATACGAGAGCAGTTACTCCCCCGCTCATGTCAGCATGCTGAGCTGCCATGTATTCAGGACTGCAAGGATAGTCGGTATACCCCGCCGGACTCATCTTCAGGTAGAAGGATTCTCGATGGTAGGGGTTCAACGGAAGACCCTCGACAAGTCTGTACGGCAAGTCAGGCGTGCTTATGTAGAAGCGGCCAAAGGCGACACACAGGTTCGAGTTTGTGTATACCTCGTCCGTGGCCTTCTTCGCCGTCTCGGCCGTGAAGCCGCCGGCGAGGATGATCGGAGCCTCGGATCCCCAGAGCTGGATGAAGGGGTCGTTCCGTCGGGTCAAGACGTGGTACGATGCGTTCGCCACGTCGCCGGCGTAGCGACTCTCTACGAGATGCAAATAAGCTAGGTCGAGTTTCTTGAGCTCAGAAATCAGGTGAGAGAATTGAGGCACCGGGTCTGCCATTCTCTGACCGTCAAAATCAGTCCACGGCGAGAGACGGATCGCAACCCTTTTGTTGTCGCCGACGGCAGCAATGAGCTCTTTGGTGACTTGCAGGGGGAAACGGGCACGGTTCTCGATACTTCCACCGTAGTCGTCGGTGCGGCGATTGCACACGTCTTGGAGGAATTGGTCTGGAAGATAGCCGTTGGCGCCATGGATCTCGACCCCGTCGAACCTAGCCGCCATGGCATTCCTCGCCGCCGCAGCGTAGTCGTCGATGAACATTTGGATTTCCTCGTGCGACAAGGCGCGGGGTACTGGAGCGTCTTTGCTCAGGGGCACCGCGCTTGCACTGACCAAGGGATAAGGACCACCTTCGGCTCGCTGGAGGAGGTCAGGATCTGCCCTCCGACCCAAAGCCCAGAGTTGAAGGAAAATGAAGCATTTCTTCTCATGCACGGCGTCTGTGACCTTCTTCCAAGCGGCAATGTGTTTCGAACTCCAGATTCCTGGCACATTGGCCACGCCTGATGCCCGAGGACTAATCAATGTGGCCTCGGTGATGAGAAGCGTCCCCGGCGTCGACGCACGTTGTGCGTAGTAGAGAGGTACAAATTCCATGGGAACACCGTCATCGTCGGCTCGGAATCGTGTCAACGGCGCCATGACGATCCGGTGGCCGAGTTTGACATTGCCGAGCTGTAAAGGTGAGAACAACCGTTCACCAGACATGATGAGAGCGGTTCTAGTGCTTCAGGCGGTCAAAGTGCTGGGTTTACTACTCACATCTCCAGATTCGAGCAGGCGCAGGTGTTTTTGAGACATGCTTGGATTTGTAATCCTATACCTACTAAATTCCACATTGGAATGTCTCAAGACGATTTCCAATTCTTGTCCTGTGAATGGCTCCGTGGAAACTGGTGGTTATTCGACTTCAGTGTTCTATCCCAATAATTGTACACGGAGTTGCGCAGAGTGGTGAGCGAGTCTCACGCTTAACCCCGTCCGCGGCACGAAGTAAGGGCGTGGATGCCTTTGACAGCAGGGAGAGATCACCATCCCTCAGGGGTTTCTGGAGTGGAGTGATCTCGATCTGTTGTTGTGTTTCGGCCCCGGCCTATTAATCTTGTCATATGCTGCCCATAACAGGAATGAACTGGCTGTTGATGTGAGGGAGTTGAGACCTAAACGCCACGGAGGCGGTAAAGCATCATCACTGCCATCTGGATAGTGCAGTGCCTTGGTGACATCCCCCACCGCTCAAACTTCGTCGTTTCCAGCATCGGGTATACGGCCAGAGTGCAAATCATCGTAACGGCTGTAAGCGATCTTAGAGGTAAAACGCGAGAGGATATTAAACCGTACCCTCTCTGTCACGGCAAGTACCAAGCTTACATGACCCCCAATTGAGGCAGCTGTAACACAGCTTGCATTCGAAATTCAATGCGTCTTGAAGGTTCACAATTCGCGGTGGTTGAAAATAATCATTCAACGAATTGGTAGCAGGCCAAAACGCAAGATCTCAGCTTAAGCTTCCTCAAGTAATGCAGCAAAGATCTCCTCCGAATCAAGTCCAGAGAAGTCCCATACCATTGGATCGGTGTAGCTGAACGGGTAGGTTTCTGGGAAGATGGGAAGACTGGGATCTAGGCTCGATCGATTGCCTAACCACGCGGACGTGTTAGGAGGAGCCTCGGGCTCAGTAGAGAGTTGAATAGTCGAAGTCTGCAAGATCGGATTAGATTCTCCCAGCAGTTGTGAGGATGTATTCGACGGCTGGTACTGTAAGAGCACCTCAGGCTGTACAGCATGAGTTGCAGCCGTATGATTTGGCGATGGTGTCAAAGGAAACCTGGTCATGTGATCAATTTTTTCTCTCAAAGAGAGCGTCTCAGTCCTTGACGGGTCCTGCCCATCTGACCACCGTTGCAATACCTCCAAGACCGAGGTGGAGAGATTGTCGAGGGTGGACGCGTGTGGCAAAACGGATGGCCATCGACGAGATATTTTCCAGAAGAGCACCGGAAAAGTCTTGACGTATCTGGTCAGGATGCTAACATCCTCTCCTTCCAGGTGTTGACGATCCGGAGTGGGAGTTTCAAGACTGATCAGGATAGACGAGAGCAGGTACAGCCCAGCCTCTATGACACAGAAAGTGGCGTGCCATAGCATGAACATCTTTCCTAATCGATCAAGCACGCTGTATTCTTTGATCAAAGTTATCGACGCTTTCAGAGCTCTCTTATGCATCTCCTTGGTCGGCGCAGGGCAACGTGGAGAGGGTCGGTTCAATCTCAAGACCTGAAGTTGAAACAATACTTCGTGGAACTCAATTTTTTCCGTCAGATTGACACTCTGGCGGACTTTTTGGTACCAAGCATCGAGCTGGGCTTGCATTTGCGCAAGCCATGCCTCAAACGAACCAGGGCCAGTGAAAGCTGTAAGCGGCAAGTCGGAATGGTACAAACCGAAAGTGATATCACACTCTATCTCTCTCAGCGACCATATATGAGCAGAGTGTGTTGGTGTTGCCAGCGACTCCGACTCCGGGAACTGAACATTGAACACATTAGTCACTTCAAATCGGATCACGGGAAATGAAACACTGCAGGTACCTTTGCTGTGATCTCGGACCTTTTCCATTGGTATGGCAGACTCCGAACGACGTGAGCAGCCCTGCCAAGGTCAATCAGCATCACCAGAGCAAGGGTGCGGAATGTAGTTAGATCTCACGCATCTATGCCATATGCATTCCAGAACATCCTTCGTCGCGTATTCAAGACTGCTGAACTCAGTTTCATCTGTCGAGGGGTTGGCAATTCTTCATGCAAGCCGAATTGAAATGCCATTCTGCTCGCGGCTGAGGCGCAGTGGCTGACGTTCACATGTTGAGGATTCAAAAAGCCGTAATGCGTGAGAAGCTGCAGCGCTTGGAGACGTTCCCACGAGGCAGTCAGTCCAACCTGCTCCAGGTGAACCACGGCGGTAGCCCAGAGACCGTATGTGGTTGACGCCGCACGTTTCTCGTCAATGTAGCTCAGAGTGTTGGAGCTGATGGCCAGAGTGATGCATATGACGAAGGCGTCATAGCCACTGAGTTCTGGACTCTCATACACCCTATCCCTGGCTCGGTACAGATCTGCTTCGGCAATCGACGGATATTGAGGAAGATATGTCTGACAGTAGTGTTTCAGCATGGCGTCAATGACATGGACAGGGATGGAAGAGATGGCCATAGGCCGCCACGACTGATCCGTCGATTCGACATTCTCTGACTCGTCCCAAGCTTGATGGTTGAATTGAGGTAGAGGTGCATCAGAGAGGAAATATGTTGATGTCAGGGGAAGGAGTGGCTCTTGCTTGCGCGTCCGGCCAGTCGGCTCCGCAATCGCCATTGCGACGCGCTGTGTTATCGTATCCACGCCATCGGGTTGTGCTTGGGTCTTGATCGCAGCGAGGTCGATCTCGAGTTGGGCAACTTGTGCCTCCAGATGACGGACCACGCTCCGCGGTTTGTCGGAACCACGAATCGAATCGAACCCCAAGCACGTCACTCTAGCAGCAGCACAGGCGCCGCACGTCGGGTATTGGAAATCGCACTACATGATATTGTCAGCGAGCTGGAGTTGGGTGCCGGTGAGGCTTGAAATCAGGACGATGATTCCTGGAATGATGCTTGCGTACTCGTATTTTTCTCTTCCGACAGCGACCACACGCTTTGCTCTGGCGATGTCTCTTTGAAGATTCGGGAGTTGCAGACGCCATGACAATTGGCTCATACAGTCATGAGCATTGGAGGCATTGTCATGAAAGAATGTATTCCAGATTCAAGGTCCCAAAGCAAAGGAGGATTGATAAAAGCCGTGTTCGTGAATAGAAGTCGAGAAAAGAATCACCCCACCTTCATCAAGGTTTCTCAATTGGTCTGCATTTTACGGGCATGGAAGTGGCAGCCCCAGGGATCGATTTGCCTCTCCAAGTCATAGTCTTAGGGACCGCAGGCTCTCGGGCTTCCCCGTACTCCCCCATTGCGCCCACCCCACAACCGCCCCTAACACCTGAGGCCGACGATGCCCGGAGCTGCAAAGACTGCGTACATCAAGTCGCTGTCCAGATCACTTTGGAGAATACGATCATTACGACAAATCATGGCTAACTACTGAAAGCTTCACTGGAAAAATCCAACTCATTACCAACATTTTCAGAGAATCCGAGCTTGCAAAAACCCGAGCAAAACTTTGCGAAACTTGTCGGTTTCGTCCGATTGTGGGCTGTGTCCTGAATGCTCAAACACTTCCAGCTGTGTATCTGGAATGCCTTTGGCCATCTCCTCAGCAAAGCTCACCGGGGTGACATAATCATAGCGTCCGACAACGACGAGAGTAGGAGCCTATAAGATGAGCAGCAGGTCACAGAAAGAGAAGGACAGAAGGGGCGTTACTTTGATATCCCGGAGTCGCTGTCGAACGTCGAAACGAGGCATGTTATAACCAAACGCCCAATTTTGGGTCTTGGAATGAAAATTGCCACCTGGGCCAAAGAATTCGCCAGAGGTAGTAACCTGATTCCCAGAATCCGATGTCCTCTTCAACGAAGCGTGCTCTGGAGGTGCATAAAAGGGGAGCAGTTCTGCAATCGCCTCCCGGTAATCCTCGTCGTTGAGCAGATTGCCGGACCAGACGCGGACCTGACGATCCTTGTCCACCTTGACCCGATCCGACAACAAGATGTTGGCCAGAACACCCATCGCGCCCAAAGTTCCGACCGTCCACGTATCAATCAAGATCAGGCCCTTCAAGCGGCCTGGATAGTTGACAGCATAGTCAAGGGCGAGAAAGCCGCCATAAGAATGGCCAGCAAGGACAAACGTTTCTACCTGTGTCCAGGCCCTATCCTCGCGGTTAATCGTCCGCGGCGCTCTTGTAGCGCGTCCACATACCTGAGATAGTCGATGTCTTTCATCCAGCGTTCATGCGTGAACGGCCCACTCATGTCAGACGCACCACTTCCCCTTCCATCAAAGACTAGAACTTGGAAGAGCGAAGAGAGATGGGCGAAACAGGCCTCGGGCTCCGCATGAGTGAACAGTCCCGGTGCTCCATGAAGGGCCATCAGCAGAGGCTTGGAGTTGGATGAGTCGTGTCCGAAGACCTTGACATGTAACTTGGCGCCATCATCGATTTGGACAGTGAACTTGTTTGCTTCGACCATCGCTGCTTTGTTTCGTTGAACTCGGAATGGGAACCACAGAGCCCAGGTCTGAATGATATATCTTGCGTGATGGAAGGTTGGTCAGTCAAGCAATGCTCTTACTCTTGAGTCTCCTCTAAAGCCTCCTCCGAGGGCAAAATATAACACTTGAGAGGATAAGCGTTATTTGTCATCTGCTCCATTTTGTGCACGAGCTTAAAGCATATTTTTTTTTTTCAAGACAATGCTTGCTACTGGCAACAACAAGCAAGGAGTCTGGTGGCAATGATGAAATTCGCTTCCTTCCTGATATTCGCGGAGGAAAGCTTCATTGGGGTGCCAAGACACGGATTAATGCGGCCTTAACTGAATGCCGAGAGAGAGGGTCACGTAATTAAAGCCACCAAGCAGCACAAGGGAGGATATGGCTGACATAACAACTGATGCGTGTTCCACATGACTATGACTGATAAGGCAATGTCTTAATGGTCAATATACGTGTCGCGGCTTGAGCTTCCAAAATTCTTACTCTGAAGGAGGGTCAAGGTGTTACTCGTCCATGAACGGCATATAACGCCGTTACTATCAAACTCGTATCTATCATGGCCAGCCTCTATAAGAGCATCCAAAATATGGGATACATTAGTTATCGCTGTCTAGTGACCCCCTCGCAATCCCGGGGGCGACAGTGTTGAGCTGAATATTCTCATTCTATACAAGGCTGTCGGCATCATAACACCATCGCGTGGCGGCAGGAGACTTTACTTTCTGCAGGATAGGGGCAATGGCCAGAGAAAAGCCAATGACCTGCCATCCGGTCAGCGATCTTCGCGTCGGGTCTACCATACACAAAGCAGATAGAGACGTAAGAAAGAGCTTACTGCAGCCTTAGTGCCACTATACTCTGGATATATGCTCGTAGTATATAGCCCTAGTATACTGGCCACCGTGACGATTTGGCCTCCGGGGGTGGCATTCTGCCTCATGAAGTGTATAGCCAGCTGCACCCCATACATTACCGCCTTGAACGTCACATCAACTCCTAGGGTGTTTGGCTCCGGTGGCACCTCAGTGCTGCCTCGATGTCGGAAAATATAATAGGACGATCTCTCCACGATACCGGCATTCGGAATAAACGCATCCAGCCTTGCCCAGAGCTACTTCACTTTCTGGAAGGCCTCCGCCTACTGTTGGTAGCTCGAAACATCGCACTTGATGAAGATGGTGGAAGGCACGAGTTCTGCCGATAGTTTGTTGCCCTGTTCTTCGAGGATGTCGAGGATGGCGACGTGCCAGCGCCTTTTCACCAAGTTGCGTACCGCCAGGGCACCGATGCTAGTCTTCTATACATCAGCTCCAGTATTTTTTAGGTAGAGGTTAGATCCGCTTACTGCAGCACCGGTGACAATGGCCACTTTCGCCGTATTTGGGTCATAGACAGCCATATTGATTGTTGATTTGGCGGTTGGATCAATGTACAAATATTCATATGCGATTGATCATGTCGAATCCTGGGACTTTGGAGACATCATGTCGGATCGCGTCACATCAAATGGTGTTAGACGAGGTAGTACTTCTAACCTCCAAAGCAAATTGTCGTGATAAACGATTCGAACCTTCAAGGGGTAGGGGGAGGAGGGGCCCATTCGCGTGGAAATCCCGGTGCTGAAAAGGAACCAGAACGCACGGCAGCACAAACAGGCTTCGAATCTTTCCATCACAGCCCTGTAAGCTTGCAAATGATAGCAGAAGCATGAGTACAACCCATACATTGAATCCACAAGGCCACCTCATGTAGAGAGCGCGGATTGGCTCGTATCGCTTTGACCGTCATTCTGTCGGGCGGAACATCTTCTTCATCGGATTCTGTTTCCCGTTTTGTTTACTACACAGTTGAGGTGTTACTGTTGCTACCTTTCATGCGGGAGAGACGGTTGATGGCAACCTTCCAGGCTTGGATCACCATGGCAGGGTTGGGCACCAGCACAAAGACCTGATGTGCTGCGAGAAGCTATGGCCAACTACTTTTGGAAATGGATTTTGCCCTCGTTGTTGATGTACGTGGGACCCATGAACCGTCACGGCAGCAATTCTTGTGGAAGCCATAGGGAATCCCTCTCGATGAGGAGCTCGGCTACTTTTCCACCCTAGTTCACGTCCTTCGCTACAAATGCAATACCTTGTACCACGGCCGACCTAGGTTCTCTCCTGGTTTTTTAGTGGCTGGTAGATCCCTGAGTTTGGCAGGAATCCAGATCTTCTCCGATAGTTGCGAGCTTTAATAAGGCGGAGCGGCAGGAAGTATCTGTGTCGACCCGACGAAGACGACTTGTACAGACGCGAAGCTGTATTGTCAAGAGAAACGTCAGCGCCATCGTAACATGGACACATTGCATCAATATAAAAATCCGTAACAACCCCAAGCCCCCAAACACCAGGCTTCGGACAATCAAGGAACAGAAGCCAAAAAAAAAATACAGTATTAGCGGTAGCAGTCCACCAGGGTCAATGAGATTCCAGATTCCAAGACAGAGCAAGGACTGAGAGGAATGTGACATACGCAGCAGTCGCCGCAAAGATCTCGACTCTCCGTGCCGTGGTGAAAATAGCCAGGCAGATGGAGAACAGGGCCGAGTAGGCCAGAAGGACCCCGAGCCGGTCCACCATGTTGTTGACAAAGTAGAGGGTGAAGATCGAGGCCGCGGGGATGGCCGAGGCAAGCACAACTCCTACCAGATGCGACAGGGCGCGGACATGGGTTTTGCGGTAATTGTAGATGCCACATTCGGGGTCGACAGGTCGCTGAGAGAGAGGTGGTTAGAGGGAGAGCTCGCTATCTGAGGCCGCGAGGGGACCATTGAAGCAGTTGTACGTACCTTCCATCGACGTCCTATCAAGTTGTGAAATCGCCCGACAAGTTCGTCCGACACCCATCGGGAAAAGAAGTCCTTCTCGACGGCTTCATGCGAGACAGTGACAAGATCAGAGGACCTATCGTCGCAGCTGGGATCGTCGGGATCGTCAATGTGGAAAATATCCCGTTCGACGCCTCCAAGAAAGTTGTCGCCATGGTCGCGGTGCTCGAGCCACACTCGTAGCATTTTCAGATCGTGCTTGGTGGGATTCTGCAATGTGCACAGTTCCTTGTACTGCAGGAGCGACTCGTCTAGACAGACGTCAGAGGGATGCGAAAACTGACCCAGGGGTCCGGGAGCGAGAGCGTGAACGTACTGTATTCCCTCAACTTGACGCGGATTTTCTGGATGATGTCCCATTGCTCAGAGGGCTCGTCGTCGTCCTCCAGACCCTGGCTCAACTTATACCAGTTTCGTTGCGCTTCGATGCCTTTGAGGTCCTGCCTCTGTTCCTCTTCATTTCGTAGATCTCTCAGTTCTGTCTCAAGATGAGTGATCTCGGCCTGCAAGAACAAAAGATTCTGAGCGTTCAATGAACCGAAGCGACGAAAGATCGCCACTTCTGGCCAGGTACCCATCAGGTCGGACAGCTTGGGATAACTGCCCATGCTCCAAGATCGGGTGATGCCAGCTGGCGGGGCTTGCACCACGGCGGCTTCACTCTCGACTATCGTCTCCGACGGTGACGATGATGAAGGTTTTTCCACAGACATGGCAGGTGGATGGTTGGGTCCTTAAAACGCCAAATTGAGTCAGCTACTTGATTCCTGAGGCATAAAGTGGCAATCGCGGCCCAGCGGTTTTGTATCATTCACGAGCACATGCCATCCGGCTGAAAAGATTGTGGCGGAGCAAATGTGCAAGCTGAATGCACAGCCCACGCGGCGCTCCCCCCCTCCACGCGAGGCAGAGCCGCATATGAGGGGCTGATACGAGACCTGGCCATTTTGACGCATACAAAACCCCCAGCAGCCGAAGAAGTAAGGCTTTCTTGGATGTTCAGGCAGATGTGCTCACCAACGGATGTCCACCTTGCCACCGCCTCTGTCACGCACGAAAGGCCATTCTCTCTCCAGTTTTCTGCTCATTAGCTGATGGTATAGTCCCCGTCAGCACCTGTGATTCCACAAGTCCCCATCCTGTACTCCCGTGCCGCCCCGGCCCTTTGGCCCGAACCCACGCGGATGGCGCCTGATCGTCGGGCGCGCCTCCGCGCCTGGTCAAACTCGTTCTTTGGCCGTGATCCTTCACCCCACCAGGATAAGAAAGCGAGTGCTCTGCATCACCTGGCTTCGGCAGGTCTCGATCTTGTTATTACGCCTACTGAGGAGGAAGTATGGGCGGAACAGGCTCGAAATGCGGCCTCGACTGTCCTCCAGGAGCTGGAAAAGGTGTGCAGCGTTGATCCTTTGCAGCCCGGCCAGCTGCCACGAAGGATCACGATAGAGGTTAGCGGGTTCTCCTGGAGCTAAATACATAATACCCCGTGCTGACAACGCTTAATTACAGGTCGTGGACGATGCCCAGTCCGAGAATGGAGTCCACCCCATCACCGGCGTGGACGACAATCCATTCGATCCCCACGCACAGACGGAAGACGACGAGAGCTACTACGATTTCGAGGAGGACATATATATTGTCAAAAATGAGGAGGGCAAAATCTTTAGCCGAGCCATGATCGACACTGGCATGGATGGGAATGCAATCAGCGTCGAGAAGGCCAGGCTGACAAACATACCAATCGAGCCTTGGACCGGAGGCCAGCTTCGTGATGCCGACGGAGAGCCCTTCAAGCCAGAAGGGTTACTGAAAGCTCAGTTCCATTTCAGTGGCAAGATGCAGACCAGCCGAAGCTGGCTGGTCGAGTTCATGGTCCTACACAATCCTCCGTTCGACGTTGCCATTGGCAGGCAGTTTATCAACTCGGCGAGACTCTTCAAGAAGAGCGACGTGCTCCTTCCCATCGTGGTCGACAAAGCCAAGGATGCAAAAGCTCAGCAGATCAGCAACCAAAACGCGAAACGTGAGAGCGATCGCCAGAAGGAAGAGGAAAAAAGGCGAAAAGAGCAGATCCGCCGGAGAGAGAGGGAGAAGGCAGGTAAAAAGTGATCAGGGTCAGAACTTCCCGGTCAGGCCTGCAACAGAACACAGAGTCGAAGTCGATGCCGTTACAGGCCCCGATGCAGAGTCTATAGCCAGGCGATTGTGAAGACATTCACAGGGCGGAATTGAGCCGAGGAACCGGACAATGCGAGATCAGAAAGGTGAAGACAGTGCTGAAGTTGACACGATACTGCTGACAACTATCGAAGTTTGAGGTCAGCCAAGAGCGAGCGATTCCAGACAGAGATATTGATTATTATTCGCCGGAAGGTTTCAGTGATTCTGGCAGATGGAAAGGGAACTTCTATAGCGTCGACACGAAAGGCGGGCGATTAACCAGGCTACCACCACCACTACGAAGCATGACTTGGAGAGTTTCAGAATCTAACTAGCGACTGGTATGTACTGCCCTATGATTAAGGTTCTCTTTAGAGTTATTCCTCCCTTCGCACCCTAATCAGACTCTAAACTCGATGCATATCATATTATCCTTATTATTCGTCTCATGACAAACAATTCCTCTGCTCACAGTTGTCATAATGAGGGTAGTAGGTTATTAAATCTGAAGGGATCTCACTTCCCCGGAGACTGTGATCTACCTGACTCGACATGCCTCGCCACCTATTAATTCTACCCTCTCAGCATTCAAGCAAACGTAATACGTGTCGCGCTCTCTGGTCCCTACCATGCCCTCGAGCTTCGTACTGCTTGAATATTGCATGGAGCTGTCCGGTCTGGCATTTCGAACGACGGGTACTGTGCCGAAGTTCGGGCCTCGAATCCGAACAATAGTATCTATCGCCTTGAAATTGACCCGATTGTCCTCAGTTACCATTCTATGCAGAAGTGCTGGCGCTGGAGGCCGACTCGCTGGATATCTATCAGTTCCTCCACCCTCTTGCTTGTCTGCCAGTCTTGAGAGGGAGCAACTTCGGTCGGTGCGAAGTTATGCTTTTGTTGGTAGTCTGTCATCCGTTAGTTGGGTGACTGACATTTGGCATTTCTGACAAGGCTGGCTGACTAGGGGCACCCAAGGGGGGTTATGTCCATGATTCTGTTTTTTCTCAAGCCTACATTGTTGGTCTGCGGATAACGCTTCCATTGATCGAGGTCGACGACGTCCTCGATCTGTCCCCGCGCAATAGGCATTCATCGCTCCAGCAAGTGTTGACAAGTTTCAATTTTTCTCTTCCAAAGATCCTGACACGCGGCACGGCGCGGTCTTCATCACTTTGGATATGAGCTGGGAAGAGGGGAGGGCAAAACATGGATCAGTACCTCGTACAGGGGGAGGAGCAGTACACATGGTGCTCTCTTCTGTCGCAGAACACCAACTACACGGACGCAGAACAGGACGTCCGTGCTCTTCTGAAGATGAAGACGCAGAAGATAACGAGGCTGAAGAAGGACAATCACACAATAATTTACGAGGCAAGCATGTCCAGGGCCTCATCCGATCCGCAGCGGATCCTGCCGAGACGTGCCACACAGATTGACGAGTGTTGACCCCGGGGTAATCAACCATCACGACAGTGCGAGACTCTCAACTCGGAACGGCTGAACGAGGTGAACTGGCAAGCAAAATCACTGAAAGATGAGGACCGAGAATAACACCACACGTAGCCTTCTGTGTCTGGAACATCGTCTTTTCTTTCGAGCACTCCCCCACCAATCTTTTTGGGTTTCGCCATTGCTCTAGCCTCTAAAGAACCCGTTTTTTCCCGCCCTCAAAGGGCATAAATGTCACAAACAGTGTGCCATGATCGTCGTCCATGTCAGATACGTCCGGACCTCCCTTTTCGGGTCGTAAATCCCTGAAAACACCCATTTCAGCTTGTTGGTACGATGCCCCCTGCACATATATATCCCCAGATTTTTCAGAGTTGTTGTTGTGATCGGTTGTGGAACTTGTAAATGAGACAAGCTACATCGCGCAATAGGTCAGCGCTTGCTTTTTGAATGCTCAAGCAGTATCCACATATCCATAATTGCGATTCCAAGAGTCAGCATATCCAAACTCGGGTCGGCCTGAAGACCGATCAGCTCATTGAGAGCACTGTCTCATGTCTTCTGTGCTTATGTCTCATCCCTCAGTACAGCGGGTGCGCCGAACTGATCAGCAATTTCCGTCTTGTACCGTGCCAGGAAGAGACCACCAAAAATCCGCAGATATTCCTGGCAGAAAGCAGTCAGAATCACTGCTTTGAATCGCACTGGACGCGTTTCAGGAGAGGTTCCGCACCCCGGGGATCCGTACCGACGAAACGAAACCTTTCAACCACCGATTCATATCGGCAAGCACTGTTGTAACATCCTTCCAGCGCCGCCTGACCCAGTCTTCCACCCGCCGATCTTTGTATCCCTTCCACCTCGCCCATATGACGAAGAGGAATACCAGACTTGCATCGATCATGATTTGCCGCACGAGCGCCCAGGCCAGCCATTTGACCCACGTTGATATTCGATAGAATATTCTCCTCCGCCTAGAGGTCTCCTCGGGGGAGAAAGAGGAAGAGGACAGTAAGTGGTTTGCGGACAGTTGTTCTCGTAATGCAGCCACCTCGGTCGAGAGGTGTTTTAGGTGAGATTCAATGCGACCTCGCCAGTCAGGATCAGAAGTCGCTTGCCGTGAGGCGGGTAAAGGGCCGATCACTGCATGGGTTACGGGATCCACCTCTTCGCTCTCCACAATATCATCGCTCCCTCCTTGTGACACCGGTGATAGGACTCGTAGTCGACTGGGGTCGGAATTTAACCTGCTCAAGCTTTCGCCTTCTCTTCGCGTACTTTGACCGGGAGGTAGGCTTCCAAAGCTCGTTGTTTGCCCCAGCCCAGCCCGCTCCAGTCGTCTTGTGGGCGACTCTGCGTCTTCATCCTCTGAGCTCCCGCTTTGGCTTTTGATCTGGTTCCACACAAATTCCAGTTCCGCCACCAGCTCACGGGACTCCTGCGTGCCCGAGGCATATTCCTTCATGGTCTCTATTAGTGTACTGATGTAGCGTCGTTTCGCTTCGGTGCGGGACATGCCGGCACAAGCATGCCATGCGTCCCATTTCTCAATTTCGGCCTCGGCCTCTCGCACACGTAGGTCTCGAGATGCGTAGCGGTGAACGTTATTTGACTTGGAGTTATTTGGATCCGGCGAAACAGAGGGCAAGGTAGGACGGGGAAGGATGGATTCGACATCGCCCTCCATCGACTGTTTATAGAGGCCATAGAGACGTAGGCGGGCAGAAGGAGGTGGTCGGGAGGAGCCCGTTCGAGGAAGACGACGGACTGTGGCGAGAGCATGGACAAAGACGCGGTCTGTAGGCGAAGAAGTGAGACTCTGGCCGTGTGCCCTCATGATATCAGAGACGCAGTTGAGACATACCCACAGAGTCCGACATGGCGCCAACTGCGCCCGAGGCCTGCTTGCCTCTCTTTACAAAGCAGCGCCGATAAGGATTAATTCAATGTCAAAGGGAGGATGTCATTCAGATGTCTGGCGCGGAAGATGGCATGCGGAGAAGGGGGGCAATTCCGTAGTCGCGTGAGAGGGCTGAGATGAATTTGGACGAGAAGAAAAGATGCCGGGCGATACAATCGTGAATATAGATCATCAGGAGAAGTATGAACACTGGAAGTAAAATGGGTAGATACTATGTCAAAGGCAGCCGCATAGCTGACTGACTGCCGAAGTTTGACGAGGATAGTATCGCGTTGATTTGAGCAATCAATTCTTTGATCATCTTTTGGATTTTCGGGATCTCTCCAAAGGCCTCGGCCTGCGGTTACGGCGCCACATGTGACGGCTGCGCGCCAATATAACACGGTACGCAATACGAGGTGCATCCCACCATCCGTCAACAATCCCTTGATTTTACCATTTCCCCTCGTTGATACATCTCTCCAGCAACATACGGTACAAGTCTATCCTCCAACCCTCTCTGGCTGCGACTTGCCACTCAGCTCCGTAGTCTCGCGGGCAATTCCGTGCGACGGCTGCTCAGGATCACTGTGCGCACCTTGTCGGTTTCTGGTCGACTCTTTCGGCGCCTCTCCCCCCATGGCATACTTGCTCAAATCTCCATACTTGACGGTGTTTAGAGCGCTCTCGTGCGAGGCATGAAGATGCACTCGCGGTACCGTCGACTGTGATATTTGTCCCTTTTGCGCTGCATCAAATGCTTCCTTCCACCGATGTGCACAGAGACACCATTTCATTCCGTCCTTGACGCCTGCATCGCCAAGGTTATTGCCTCTCGAGTTCGTAAAATCCAGAAACTCTTGGTTCACCGTGGCTGCTACCGAATGGTTTCCCTTGTCCTCCGGTCCGGTTCTGCAGTATCCATCACGAAAGAAGCCGGTAGGAGGGTCTCTCGAGTGCATTGCCAGCTGCCCACCGGCGACTGATAGCATGTCAGTGCGTATTGACAAAACGTGGAGCTAAGAAGGCGCACCATTCTTATTCTTCATCATTTCCCTGCTTGAGGTCTGTGGAGACGCAGCCATCTTGGAGGGATTGCTCTAGTTGGCTGTAGCGTATCTCTAACAGTCTCTACAGTATTATGTCGAGTCGAGGCTCTGATTCCTGGTACCAAAATATCTTCAAGAGACGAAAATCGAGGAAGGGAAGCTCGAGACATCTTCGAAGCCTCACACTCTTTTTACAGTCCCGGACAAAATGGTCAAGCTTGTGGTTATGAAATCATGACGTTTTCCGGAGTGTTTACATCACCAGAAGCTCAAACACGATCCTGTGCGGCACAGATCGAAACTCATTAATGACAGCATGAATCGTCGCTTTTGGTACCTTTTAAGAAACTGTGAAAGAGAACGGGGCAGACAGCCCCTCGCCTCTGCACTTCATCTGCGCGCGAAAGAAGCAGAGAATACCTGGTAATGCTCCACACGCTGGCTCCGGTTCATCGCACGAGCACCAACATGTATCGATAAGATAAGACCCTGATCGGACTCAGTAGACGTCAGCTTCGCGATCAGCAGACGCCTTATACGCCGTATTATACGCCTGGTATGTATGGAATGCCTTGTATGCACGGCACCATTCTAAATCTCGCCTCGATAATTTATCAAAAATAACAATGGATATACGCGCAGGACCCTCAATGGAATCCACCCAAGACAGCATCCTCCATGACCGGAGTCTGTCTCTCCTCCCCGGGGAATGCACCTCGGCAATGTACCCGGAGCTGCGGAGAGCCACCGCGGGGAGATGTACAGGGTATCAATGACTGAGCTCGTTAGGGTCTCGATTATGCCCACTGACGCCGGCGTCGATCCCTCCCTTTATCCCCAGATCTCTCCAGGAAAGCTGTGTTGCCCAGAAACCATATTAGAGGTGTATCTCCCCCCCCGCTAAAGCCGCTGGAACAACGCCCAGGAGTATTCCATCTCTCTCCCCAAAGTATATTTCAATATCTCTAGGCTGCAACCCGCCGGTTCTCTGCTATGCTCAACAAGCATGGCTTACAAAAAGATGAAATTGTACATGAAGATGTCATGAACCCTATCGCCGTAGACGGCGCTGTCGAGGTAGCGGCCCAGAATGTACCTCTACAAAACGACCCGAGAAATGCACCAATCCCCGACGCCGATGGCATTGAACATCGATACTTGACCTTTGAAACAGATATTCCGCTGAACCCGGTCCTACCATCTGGGGCCAAGTATGAACTTCCGCCCTGTCCAAATCTGCGTGACTATGACAACCCATTTACCTGGTCACTGACCCGGAAGAACCTCATGACATACCTCTCCTGCTCAGTCAACATCACGGCCGCATACTCCGCCGGCTCTTATGCATCGCCAACCGCACAGCTGACTGAAAAGTGGGGGATCTCTGCCGTGGCATACAAGACTGGCATCACTATTTTCACGGCTGGGTTTGGGGTTGCTCCGATGATACTGGCACCATTTTCGGAGATCAATGGAAGGAGACCTGTCTTCATCTTCACTGGAATCCTCTTTGTCATATGCCAGATTGGGTGTGCGGTGACCGACTCCTTCGCAGGGATGCTGCTGGCTCGGTTCTTTCTCGGTGTTGGGGGATCCACGTTTTCTACCATGGTGGGAGGTATTCTCGCAGATATCTGGGTGACAGCTGACCGGAATGGTCCTATGGTCCTCTTCACGGGAGCCACCTTGTTTGGCACCGGTCTTGGGCCTCTGGTGTCCGGGTTCGTTGCACAACGCACGTCGTGGCGTTGGGTGTTCTGGATCCAAGTCATCACTAGTGGTACCCTGGTCAGTCTTGTCACCATCTTCTTCAAGGAAACGCGTGGTGGCATCATTCTCAGTCGCAAGGCGAAACTGCTGAACAAATGGTACGAGCAGCTGGAAGCCGCAGGAGCTTTGGGGATGGAAGTGGAAGCTGAGGGTAAGGAGCTGGAAAAGGGCGGCTCGAAGAGGTGTTGCCGCATCCGATGGAAAGTGAGATCAGACGAAGACCGAATGTCGATATCCAGAATGATCGCCGTCTCCCTTTACCGACCTTTCAACATGCTCGTCACGGAGCCCGTGGTGTTCTGGTTCAGTCTCTGGATCTCGTTCTCCTGGGCTGTGCTCTACCTGCAATTCGGGTCGATCCCTCTGGTGTTTGAGGTCAACCACGGCTTCAGCTTAGAGCAGACTGGGGCGATATTCACAGCAATGTGCGTCGGGGCCATTGTCTCCACGGTCCTGAGCATCTGGCAGGAGAAATGGGCCGCTAAGCACTATCCCGTCAAGATCAATGGCAGTCCCGAGGGGAGGCTGATGTTTACGTGCATCGAATCGGCCTTCATGCCAATCGGGCTATTCTGGTTCGGGTGGACTTGTTACTCGTCCATCCACTGGATCGTCCCTACCATCGCCATCAGCGTTGCCACGATGGGAATCTTCAGCATCTTCCTCGGCACCTTCAACTACACGGCCGACTGCTATCACACGTACGCGAGCTCGGCCCTGGCAGCGTCGGGAATTTGCCGAAACCTCCTGGGCGGATCTTTTCCACTGGTAACAAATCAGCTGTTCACGAACCTGGGGTTCCAGGCCGCAAGCAGCCTTTTGGGCGCCATCGGGCTCGCATTGACTCTTGTTCCTTGGGTGCTGGTCCTGTACGGCCCAAAGATCAGGGCCAGAAGCAAGATTGCGAGCTCATTTACTTGAACCGACACTTGCTTGCTGGTTGCAGAGTATGATTTCCAACAAAGTGTATGCGGGAAGACGGATTCAGATACGCTCAGGCATCTGTCTCTAGAGCCAATACCCGCCCTGCACGTCAAAGCACCAAGTTGTCTCCGTGGCCTGGTCAAGCAATAGGGACATGTCGGCAGTGGACCTTCGTCCGCAACCACTCACTTCCGACCGGCTTGATCAAAATAGCCAGAGTGATGGAATCCTCAAACTAGAACTGGAACCCGTTGACGCCGATCTCCAACAGATGAGAGAGCATTGTAAAGCTACCCTACCCCCCTATGATCTGCATGTGCAACATGCCATTGTCGTCCTCACGGAACAACCAGTCGGCCGGGAACAGTCGGGAGGGCTCCGAGCGAGCGTCATCAGAGCACCCGTCCACAGGGTGGTAGAGGAAATAGGGCAAAAGGGGCTAGGTCGAGACAAGAGGGGTATGTGCGGCACAAGGAGAATGGATGGAATGGACTGACGATGAGGGAGGCCAAGGCACTCGGGACGGCACCGTGTACACATAAGTGTAGACCGCGTAGCTGGCTTGATCTGCCTCTATCGAAGTAGACCTAAATATGAAGTATACATGGTCCTGCTCACTTGCTTGCCTACCACCACCTTGTACTTTTGCTTGGTACTTCGCGACTCCTGTCCTAACAAGTACAGAGTACTTCTCCACGCGACGCGTCGTGACGCGCTGTCCCGTGATAAGTTCACAGCTACGAAGATCCTACGTGGAGAGAATGTAGCGGATAGTCTCGTGTCAAAGATAAACGCCAACTAGGACAACAGTACAAGGTATGTTTTCTCATAAAAGCTCGCTTTGTTAGATAATTCCTCGTTGTAATGGGGGTATCGATCGTTGTCGTAACAATACAAGATAAGCAAGCACACTGTGATCGTAACACACAAGTCCCGTCTGTACATGACCGCCAGAGCGGCAGGTCCAGATTCTGAGACCGACCCCTGAACAACCATATCTCCCCGTCCTCAATACCACGAGGCTTCGACTCCATTACGGCTCGGCGCGGCCAAGCCAAGGGGCGTTGTAACCGATTCACGGTCTTTTGAGTAACCTATAACAAGTCATCCACTCATGACGTTTGTCGTCTGCCGTTGAACGCCGTTCCTCATCTCCATCTAATGTGCAAATCGTTGAAAATCTCCCAAATGCGCCGGCCCGTTTGCTGTATGAATGGAAGTAGGTCACCAAAACAATCTTCTCTGCATATCATTCGTGAAAAACCCTGTGTCGACCTCCATCGGTCCGCTCTCCACGGCCATGGCATTCCCCATACCGGTCATTCCCATACCGTTGTTTAAGGTCTGAGCCTGTGCCCAGCTTGAGTCCGCGAAGCTCTGTAACAAGAGAGCCTCGGCACCGATTCCCACACCATTGACATTGGGACTTGATGTGTTGTTATTGGGCGAGCTAGTGTTGGATAAAAATGAGGACAGAGATTGCCAATTGGGGGTCGATGTTTGGCTGTGGCCTGTTTGTTGTTGCTGGGCGTTTGAGGTTGTAGGAAGATTTGTTTGTGAAAGCGAATGTTGAGGTACATTCACGGGGGTGCTTGCGCCGCTGCGGTACGAATCTGTGCTCATCGACCGGAAAGCGCCTGACTGAGCATGACCATGTCCGTGACGAGAGAGATCGACCGATCCGGGGCGCGAATGACTCGCCGCGTTCAAGGAGTGGAGGGGATTATGGGCATGGCCGTCGTCGATGGAGTTGCGGAAAGAAGACTGACTTTGCACATTGGAACCGGAATGTAAGGCGCAGTCCTCTTGCCATTTGCGGATGTTATCAACGCTGTCAAGAGGGAATTGTTCCCAGTATTCAATCCCAGTCTTCTTATTCAAGACCGGGGGACTACTTCTCATTGTGTGAGGACCAGGGGAGGGCGAGTCACGGGTTTTGAGACCAAGCATATTGAGATTAGTTGTTGAGGGGCTGGAAGTGAGAGAATCGGTGGCGCATTTTAGTTGTTCGGTGGAGATGATGGGTAGCAGGGCGAGAAGGAGCGATTCCGCTTCATGGAGGCGGTGCTCAAGGCCTTCGATGTAGCCCTTAGCAGGACCTCTGAGTGGCAGTGTTAGTTCCATGCAGTAGACTGGAAGAAGAGGAGGGAGGCCCTGCGGCGGATGGCACACCTGAGTTGGGTCGGACATACCTTTTTCTTTGTTCTGGCCACGTACATGGTATGCCTGCAGCATGACATTGTGAGCAGCCGGACCTGTCAATAGAAACAAAGTCAGTCACATTGCCCTTGTCGCATCCTTTCATGACATTGCAAAGTAAAACACATCAGCAAAAAGCCAATTCCCCCGTCGTACGTCCATGTCCAAGGCATTGTTCAGTTGACCAACGTGACCACCCTGATGGACAATTGGTGGATGTGGTATCAGGGCTAACCCCCGACTTCAAATCATTGTGCCAAAACGATTTAGCAAGCAATGAAATCCCCGCGAACAGCAACTGGAGGTGAGATTCTGGGGTAGGAAGGTATAGTTGGGTATAAAAGCAAAGCCCGTCCTCGATTTCTGTCGACCTTCCTCTTGACACCATCTGGTTGAAGAACAAAGAGGTCGAACTCACCGATCACCGCTGCACTATTACCCAAATCTTGTCAGCATACGTCTTTTAATGTTCAGCTTGATGATCCGCCAATCTTAAGCTACCTTTTTACAGTAGAAGAGGCAGGTCCGGATCTCAATCATTGAGAGGACTCCTGAGTCTAGAGTGGTGATAACTACATACCTTTTGTTTTTTGGTACGGCACCCGTTGCAGGCACCACTTATCCGAGTGGGCATGTTGGATAGATGTGGAAAAGGTTCGTTGTTCAATACAGAGAGCCTTCGAAGCCCTGATGGATGATGAGTGGACGAGGCCGTGGGCTTTTCTCAGTCTTAAAGGACGATGTCAAAGTGCAAGACGTCGGGTCAGGCCTTTCTGGGATGGATTTGGGGAACTGTTGGCCTACGGCACTGGGGGTTGATTATGGTAATCCCAGAAACAGAGAAGCCCGTTGGGTGAGGTCGGAGCAATGCGGAGTCAGGTGAATAACCTTCGTAATAGTCGAATTGCGTAGCCGTGTCAGCGAATGGCAGGGCTGGCTTCTGGTTCCTCGTAAATAAGGCAAAGCCTGACTAAGTGTGTGCGTCGCCGAGCGGCAGGTGGATTGGCGTGGAACACAAGCTGGAGACTGGCGCGACAATATGTCCGCAGGACTTCTTCCAGGATCACGTTGACTGAACAAGATCTCGAATTCCTGTCGAAAAAGATAGCCTGACACGTTGGTCAATTAACAACGGAGGGCCGGAAAGTGATCCGACGTCCTTGTCTGGCTTGATGTTTGTCGGGGTTGTCAGTATTCTATTGGTATTGTGGCGTTGCAAGTGCACGACTGATGAGTGCCTCGGTGACTGATATCCGATGCAAGTCAGAAGGAAAGGACCTTGCTTGGTAGATAGAAAACGCGAAAGTGGGTTGATGAGCCGGGATCCTGATGATTGATATAGAGCCTCGACCTAAGCAGCCAGACGGTGTACCAGTATCCCCGTGGTTTTTTAACAGACGATGCGACACAATTTCCGCACACCCGTGTGAAAGTTTATTCCGTCACTTATGTCACTCAGCCTGGGTCAAGAAAGGAGCCTTGGTATATACACGAGGTCCAACACTGAAAGAGTGGAATCGGTCACAGCTCAAGGATGGATGTCCGGGCAATAGTTCGGACACAGGGCTTTTGGGGCGACGGGTCGCTGATCAGTGTGGGAAGCTTACGCTCGGATAGGGACGTTTCTTTCTGGAGGATTGAAAACGCGGATATTGGTCGGGGGTGGCTGTGACGATGTACGATTGGATCGCCTGACGGGGAGAGAGGGAGGTTCAGTTTCAGGGAGAGAAGGACGAGATCTGTTGCGTCATGGTGAGGAGGATGTGAGAGACAAGATCGAAGAATGCCCCTGTGAGGGAAAGGAATGGGGCCCAGGTGGCGGTCTGTGCAAGGAACCATAGGGCGAGGAAAGGCTCAAAAAAAGGCCGCATAAGATGTTGCAGTGGTCTTGAGTGGTGCAGACAACTGCGGTGCGGCGAGGAGCCAATCCAGATGAAACCGTGAGTGGACGCCGCCTGAAAGGACCACGCAAGCCCTTCAAATGGCAGTTGAACTAAGGGCGCAGGGGAGGTGCAGGAGCGAGCATGTCGCCTAACATCAGCGCTGACTCACGGGGGGCGGGTGGGTGGATATGGTGGGCGATGGCCAGACCCAAGGGAACAGGTAGAAGAGAGAGGGAATTGCAGATGGAAGTTTCTAATGCTAGCCTAAGCCAGATGGAAGAAAGTGTGCCGGAGAGTGAGCGATCAGGAACAGGACCAAGAGCTGTTGAGGTAAAAGCAACAAACTTTGACAAGAAAAGTTCACTTTGGTAGACGGGGAGTGTAGGGAGTAGGTTGTTACATTACTAGGTATGGCGGTACCTAGGAACTAATTAGGCGATACTGGTGAAGCCCAGATAGGCAGTTCGTGGCTTGCTTGCTTGTTTAGTGCCCGCCGAGGGGTTCTTGCCAGTAGGTTTTTGAGGGGTTTGGCTGATGGGAAGGCACATAGGTTCTATTGGCTCCGAAGAACTCTCAATTTCACGCCTGGAGTAACGTTTTGCCGGGGACCACCACGCCGCCTGAGGAGTATTTGTGAGGGGTGCAACACCCCTATCGTTTGCGCCTGGGCATCTTCCTCCTCACGACGACCTCGTGCGAGGACTGGCATCGTGAGATGGAAGACCGACGTCATCCCGTTGGGATCCTCAAAGAGTCTCCAGACAACATGCAGATCTTCGATTCAATCGACACTATGTAGCTTTTCAATCCTGCTGTCCATTCAGAGACCTGTTGCTTCGTATCTGCTGAGATCCGACATGTGACAACCAGACGGTGTCACAAGTGTCAGAACACCGCCTGGCGAAGCTGCCGGACTTCCGTGGGCGGGAAAGATCAAGAAGAGAAATGTCCCCATCGGTATCGCGGAAACCGACGGGGAACCTCGATGAGTACCAGCGTGTTTATGGCCAGCAAAGAACTTCCTATTACAAGGTAGACTCATACAAGTACTTGTTACATGTGGGTAGCAACGTGGCCTACAGCCATAGTTCTTGTTTTCTTGTCTTGCGCTGATCCGAATCTCCCCTTTGCCTTTGTGTCGCCCTCAACAACACTGACTTATCCATTTTCTCATTGGAAATAGAAGCATGATTAAGGCTTCCAAGAGAGCAGGCTCGCGCTCCTCATTCCGCTATGCACCCTCGCCAAGGTTTCGACCATTTTAAACCCGAATCTATGCGGCTCCGAGCATTAGTCAATTACGAGGACCAAGAGTCAACCCTCCTCTGACACCTTGGTGCCTTTGTTGTATTGACATGAAGAGCGTGAAGAGCGGAAACCTCGAATGACAAAGAGTATGACGGGATTCTCAATCTCGGGTGGGTCTGAGTGTTTATAGCTCAGATTCTATATCTGACGCAGGGATTGTCACTTACTGGTAGGGAACTCGTTTGAAAAACGGGATCAGCGGGTGCTGTCCAGTTGCCCTTGAATGCTACCCCTTGGAGTGCATAGAGGTGCTTGCTCGAGTGAGTCCTCGTTCCTTAATTTCGAGCATTCGCCGTTGATGGGAAATATGATCTCGAGATCTAATGCCTATCGAATACCGAGTGGTCTGGTATGTTGGGTGCTTATGCCCTTCTCTTGCGGTTGCCGTCACATTCTAGGTGAGTGAGGAGGCACGATTAGGTTGTAGAACATCCAAATGAATGTTCGGACATGTCTTTGGTGTGTTCGTCGGTGGTATCGTATGTGGCAGAGCATTCTTTGCTTTGTGTCAACCGTCTGTCGGTATCTATTGGAGTGGACGGACAAGACGAGGTAGGATCAGGGTGAGCTAGACAGAGACAAGATATATGTCAGACGTGGTGATGCGAAGCGAGGTCTTGGGTGCGGTGGTTTCAGTGTGGCAGTGACTGAAGCTTTGACTGTCCAAAGCTGTAGAGATGGTGTACTTTGTACAAGTAGGTCTCTGTTCTTTTCCACCCCTTCTTCTCGGGTCTGAATGTCTCTTGTAACCTGAGGTATTTTGTATATATGAGAGGCTGAAGGTCAAGACATTCTCACCTGAACGACAAAGTCAAAAGAGGATGACATGCTTCTCCCTACGACCATTTCTCTCTTGCGGGTTGCAGGTTTCCTTCCCTGTGGTCTAGTGTCTCGCGACAATCATAAGATACAACCCAATCAGGAGCCATGGCGAGATCCGGAAACAGGGAATTGGAGCCACGCCACCTATTTGGACCTAGCAAACCTGTTCCCCAGACTGGCTTGCGTGGCTTGAACGCAGATCCGGCTCGGATGGCCCTGTAGGCTCGTCAAAGAGAGGCACCAAAAGAGGCACAAGGTGTGACACCACGTAATGCAGGCCAGGGAAAGCGACAAGCCACACGAGGCTTGGGTGCTTAATTTGTGTGAGAGTGACATTCAAACTGCGGGGATCAGAAAAATATTGGGCCGGCAAAACAATCATGCGGCCTAGGGGCCCAGAGGCTTGGATCATTTGAAGTCTCTTTTTTGCCATCAAGCGAGATGCTGCTACTTGAGTTGTGGGACCTTGTCACTGTTATTTCCGGGTCCCTTGCATTGAAACCATTTTATTTCACTCATGCGATTGAGAGTCGACCCCCTACCCTTAGCGCAAGAGAGGGAGAGAGAGTGAGCTGAAAATAGGTGCAACTTCAGGTGAACCTCTGACACCATTCGGGCGATGACGTGGAACCTAAAACAATGCCCGAAGCCACCCAACTTCTTTAAGTATCGGGTTTATTTCTGGTCCCTATATTCAATAGCCGGTAGTAGCAAAAGCGTGTCGAAAGGTAGTGAAGGTGTTTGTGTTGACTTTAGTACCTATGTACGTGCTACTCTGTCCTTGGTGCGTTCTACTTTGCTGGCTTGGGCATACTTGAACAGGCGATGCCACTGTATCAACATCATGCAGCCGAGTCGATTATCTGTTGTCTGGCTAGCTAGGTTTATCAGATTCTAGTATGTCGATCAGAAGGCCAGGACAGATCCGTGGAGTTGGCCCCGACTGTTGTGTCTGTGCTTGTACATGTACATGTATCTACCGAGTACTGTAGGTACATACATATGTACATATCCAGACACAAGTCTCCACAACCTTGAAAGTACTCGTACTCGTAGTACTCGGGCGCGGAACATGGCGATCCAGAACCCGACACCACTGTCCGACACTGATTGGTCTAGACGAGGCCGAAGCAAAGAAGGAGGCTGAACGTTGAGGCTCAGAGAAATACACACACACGTACATAAACCCTGGCCATGCGGTTCCCAAAGCGTCCTGTCCCCTCCCCACTCTTATCAAAAGTCCCTTCGCAGCGCCGTGGATCGGTGTTGACGAGGCTCTGTTGCCCCCCTGGACCAGTGGTCTGATCATTTTCTCATCGCTCCCTCGTGTTTTCGTGTTCGGGCGACGTCATCAAGGTATGTACCACGGTGGGAGTTACTGCAAGATGCCTCCGCCGGCCAGGGTGGCAGGGTGTTTGGTCATCTGGTTACACCATAGTCCGTGCGGGCGGGACATGTATGCATGTATGTATCTCGGTGTTATCCACACCTATTCTCACTCCCCCGTCACTCTAAATACGCCGCTGGTGTGGTTTTAGTTCCGTGAACGGTGGCAAAGATCCCCGAGATCGCAGATCGTATGCTCGCCTCAGCATGCTCCAAGGAGTTAATGACTCTATTAGTTATCGCTTGTATTCAGACCAAAACGTTATAGAACGCTCCCATTTCATCCTCGTTGCACAGGCAAACAGTTCACCCAGGGAATCCAGTATTTCCCATAGAACCTGCTCCTACACTCGCCATCGGAACCTCCTCTTTCATGCCAGCTGGCCCCTGTCCATACATCAAAAATTGCAACCCCAGATACGAGTCACAACAAGCCTGGAAGATGCCGCAGAGACGGAAGGGCCACGGCACAAACTCTTTGCTGAGAAAGAAATAACTCATTTTCATCGCGTCACCCGCTAGCCAGTTGATGATGACCGAGAGGCGAAACCCTTTGCAAGACCGGGCACGGTGGTTCTTGAGAATCTGAGGGATAGGAAGGATGGCTTCGACCGCCAGCCCAACGTAGCCCAGAAAGGTGACGTAAAACGGTGTCCGGGACAGGAAAGGCAAGAAAATATGGATGAAGAGGAGGCTCATGGTGAAGTACAGGAGGAAGACAAAGTACCTGTTTCCCATTCTCCGCTGTCAGCATATCACGCAAAGGAAAGCAAAAGGAGAAGCGTGGAACCAAGCATTTTGAACGGTAAGAGCTTACGGCTTGGTGGCATTCCATTGCCAAAACCCAAATGGTCTCCTTCCCTCCATCAAGAAATCCCACAGGACGCCTTTATTCCCCGGACTGTTGTGGGTATATCCATGAAATGGGGTATGGTGTATCCCGCCTTTTTCGCTGTCACCAGTTGGTGCCCGGTTGTCTAGCGCGACCTTTAGGAGGATGAGTTGCACAATTATCATGAGCGAAGCCTGGATGAGGAGCGATTTGTCGTAGTAGGCACCGAACCAATAGAAAACCCTATTTAACGCGCAACGTTGTCAGTCCCCTTCTTTCCAAAGTTACATATTCCTGGATTGGATCCCAGGCGCATGAGGGGCAGGAGAGGGCGTTGCGCGTACTTGAGAATTGACGCAACTAGCATAATGAGCGGGATATCGAGGGAGAAGCCATCGCAAGATTTTTTCCGGTGTATCGACGCGATCTGATCGGCGTAGGATGTAATGGGCGACAAGACTAAACTGTTTCACGGGTATCAATCAGTTCAAACATCTATCAAACCAGTACGGCAACAACTCACAATAAGGGCGCAAGATAGTCCACGAGTAACTGGACCAGTCCCCACATCTTGTCGATGTCTACCCAGGCAAGCAAAGAGACAGAGTGGTCTTCTACAGCGACCCCCATTGTCTCCGTTCAGCAAAGGAAAGTCCAGTATTACCGTAGCAGGAAAACGCGGTACGCTGCCCACAAAGGGATATACACACCTTAACAATACATTTGGTAAAAAGAATAAAAATGGAGGAACAGGCACAGTCAGCGCCGGGGTCTCCGCAAGTGAAATCTGTGGTTCTGTGGTTACTGGGTGACGACGTGATCCGAGAGATCCTGAACTTGGGCAGATGCTGTCCAGGAACAAGTAAAGCGCAGATCAATTTGTACGATGTGATTGGCGGAATGATCGGAGGATCACGTCTCCTCCCAGGTCACGTGTGAGGCAGCCCCCTGTCTGTCTCTCCTGAACTTTTTCGATATCAGTTGCGTCTTTGGTCATCGATGTGCTTGGTCCAGAGCAGTTCATCGCAGTATTTTGGCCTGGAAGGCTCAAATCTCATCTCACATGGATACTTCTATTCTCAGGATTGACAAGAAAGCCACAAACTGAAGCTGCGTCATAATTGTTCCGAGATCTCGTGGCCCTGGATGCTTATTGTCGCACAAGCCTCGCCGAGCACAATCCTACTTCAGGTTTCCAGTATTATATTATCAATTGATTTGATCATAGTATCACGCAGCTGGTCGAAGAAATCCACATCTCTCAGAGTAACTCTAACAGACTAACTCTAATCCAACTGAAAATGTTAATGGGTTATTTTGGGATTCTCTTCTAAGACGACCTCCACGCCACATCATCTCATCACATCGGTACCATTATCTCGGGCTATGAACAGCCTATTCAGGTGGTTTCAGAACCTGGTGGTGCGCGTGAAGGTAAGCGAAAGAACATGTTGAATTAAGCGCCCAGTGGACAATCTGTTTACCGCTGGAATTTAGTCGACCCTTGTCTCGGCCACACCACCGTCCAACGCAATGGACCATAGCTTCGTATCATGCTAGACCTGTGTTCGTATTTCCCCAAGCGTTCGAAACACAACATATTGGAGTCGTGAGCGAAGCAAGCAATTCCCTGCGCGGATTGTTCATGATTGAAGAACTGTTTGGGCGATTCAAGCCCTGTTCACTCGTGATGTTCTGTCATGTGCTTGGCAGGGTCTGATCAGTCCTTGTCAGTGGCTGAGTTTTGACTACTACTACCGGGTACCTCGTACACCTAAAGCCTCGCCAAATCGCACGCTCAAGATCTTGGAAGAGGCTCTTTTGTTCAGGCGGGCCGCCGAGCTCAACCAAAGTACATACCTACCTGGGGGCCAAATGCTCTCCCGCAATGCATTTTATGATCATCCAATGCATTTCCTGCTCTGATCAGCCAGTCTAGAGACTTTAAACTCTCCCAAGACGGCGAGACTCCTCCCGTGTTTCGGCCCCTGGCTCGCTTTCACCTGCACCAATCAATCTGGAGCAAGCAAAAAGCGCATGTTCAGCATTTCCTTCATATTTTCTGGGCTGGAACCGCCACAGCTGTGTCAGGAGCTCTGAAAGGTGTGCACTTGCGAGCGAAAGCGACCAAAATCCTGTCCAGGGTCGGGTTAAAAACAGATCAAACTATGGCATTCCTGACTAATTAAGCCGCTCTTGCTTGAGGTCGAGGACGAGACCCAAACTCTCCGTGTTCGAGGATACCGATGCTTGAAAGAGTACATGTCGGACGCCCAATATATGCTACCGATGGCGGCCTCACACCCCTCAAGCACTGCCATTCCTGCTGCCAGAGCTTCGTGTGCCCTCCCATCGGCATATCTTCAGCCGGCTCTTTGAGGTCAGGGTATTCAGGCACTGATGGACATAATGCTCTTTTTGCTCTTTTTGGCATTAATCGTGGGCGTCGCCGCTCAAGAAAGACCAGGAGAACATCTTCCTCAATCCGCCGACCAACGGGGTCAACAACGATTTCACGCAAAATCCCACCTATGTCCAAGGGTCGACCATCACGCTTCAGTGGGAAACGACGTACCCATCAACGGACCTGGTGATCTGGCAGAATGGCAATCCAAATAGTCAGCTCTTGGCAGGTGAGAAGAATACCTTCCCTGAAACTCCTAACGCACGAAATCTTGGGATTGGCTATACTAAGTTGCACGACTGGATTCTATAGCGGGCATCACGACAACGAAACTTAGCTGGACCGTAGGAGCTGGGGCAATCCCGCCCTTTGACCTGAGCGACGGCTATGTGTTTTTCTTCCAAATGTACAACTCATCAACGTCCACCTTTTTCAGCAGCCATTACTTCAACGTCAGCGATCCGTCGCTAGCTTCAACCACGTCCACCGGTCCCTCGAGCACTACGACACCGCCGACATCTACATCGACCCGAGCACCGAGTTCGTCAGGGAGCAGCTCCTCCACAACATCTAGAGTGACGCCCACGCCGACCGTATCCCCAGAGTCATCCAATGATGGCAACAGCAGCAGCAGTAGCAACAACGACAACAAACTTGGAATTGGCCTAGGCATTGGGATCGGGGTCTGCGCGTTCCTCATCCTAGTTGCCGGGCTAGTGTGGTACTTTTTCAGACGGCGCCGACGGCAGCAGGAGGCGAAAGGACCACTACTGCCGAAAGCAGTCGAGGCGCCGTCATCAGAGACCGCGTCGGTCTATCCCACCGCCATGAGCTACGGTCACCCACCCTTAGAGCACAGGAGGTACGAACTCGGCTCGACCGCGATGGACCGGGCACAAGCGGAACTAGATGGCAGTGGCAGTGGTAGTGGCGGCAGCACGAAGGCTGTGTAGTATAGCGACATCACATCATGTTACATCACATTGCAGCCCTTCACATCCTTGGGACGAGTGAGGCACGGACACGGACAGAGGAGTAGATATGGGATAGCCCGGTGATGTATGTACATTATGAGATGTTAAGGAGTTCATACCAACCAAACATGCAAGGATATCATAAGACGGCGCTTTTATTTCTATTCTCTCTCACAGCCTTCTGAATTTTGTGTACAGTATAGTTTGACTTGCGCATTCTCGCATTTGCACAGGTTCGAAAAGGTTTCTTTCATCTTTAGAGAGAAAAAGGCACCCTTGGTACATGTACAATTTACCTACCTAGACTCATCTGCACGCACTGCTTTAGTCCAAGTTCATCGGGTACGTTCTTCGTACTGTATGTGGCCTACCTACGTCCATGGCTGGGGTTAGATATGGACGTGCGCCTAGTCACAAGTAACATGGCATGTGGTCCATAAGTGATAGAGACTCCGTCAGTTGAGTACATATATAGCATAATGTCTGTGTTCTGTTTGATTAATCAATCAATCAATCACTTCCTTACGTCAATCATTCATTTCCCATGGAATTTGTGCCTTCCATCTATCTCTTATTGTAGTGTTATACAGACTTTTTACAATTCAGTCTTTGGTCTGGAGGAGCTCGCGCTCTCGGGGAACTGCACAGTCCAATCCACGCCAATGCTCGTCCCGGGACTCCTGATCACGGCCCAGGCGGCCTTGTTCCCCTGTGCCGCATGATAACTCATGTCGACCTTTCGGTCACCCTTAACCCCGTCCTCTGACACGGTGAGCTCTGTGGTTGACGACCACGCAGCAGGCGCGTTGACCACGATGATCTTCTCAATCTTTACTTCCTTCATCGTCTTCAGATACCCAGCCGTCTTCGGTCCTTTCGTGCCAATGTCGCGGCTGCGAAGAGCTCCATCCCCGAATGAGAACTGGCGATGGATATACGCCCCTTGCTGATACTCAAACGTTTCTCCGTCGTCCACGTACAGCGTGCCCTCTGCTTTCTCACCATGCTTATCCAGAACAACCACAAGAGTGTATGGATCCCACTTCATCAACCCGGAACTCTTTCTCGGTCTGTCTTTCCTGGGAATTATGTGGCCACCTTGCATGAGCAACGGAATCTTGTCCAACGGTGCATCGACCTTGTGCGTCTTGGAACCGCCAGCGTAGATCGTGAAGTCAAAATAGTCATAGTAATTCTCGTCATCCGACAGGTAAATATCCACGCTCTCCCCTCCTTCGACGGTGACGGGTTTTACCAACAAGCCAGTGGAGCCGAGGTACATCTGATCGTCAATGCCAAAACCTCGTTCGTCTGATGGATGAACAAAATACTGGGCTCGCACGATAGGGTGTCCATCTGTGGCGGCCTCATGGAATGCTGTATACCATGCTGGCAGGAGTGAATAGCGTAGTCGCAAGGCCTGCGTCATGATACCGGTATATGGCTCCCCAAGCATATAGGGCTCGCGTCTCCGGGTGTCAATATGTGCATGGCCGCGCATGAATGGATAGAATGCCCCAGCTTGATACCATCTCGTCTGCAGTTCTTTGCTTGGGTTGCCAAAGAATCCACCGACATCAGCCCCGGCAAAGGGAAACCCGCCAACCCCTTGATTGAGAATCATCGGAATCGATGCGGCAAGATGTTCCCAATTGGCCTGGTTGTCACCAGTCCACATTGCCGCAGATCTCTGCGAGCCTGCGTAGAACGATCGAGTGAGCACGAATGGCCGCCGAATCTCTCCCTTTTTGCGTTCCAGGAGAGCGTGCCAGGTGGCGTTGTGAAAAGTCATGCCATTGAGGTTGTGTAGGTCTCGGTGCTCCCAATTGCCGTGGTGTAGGTTATCCCTCGGCATGGTGATTTCCGGGCCATTAAAGACAGATGGCTCATTCATGTCGTTCCACAGCCACACATTTGATTGTGTGCCTTTGAATCGATCGAACGTAAATAGTGATTTCCACCAGGCCCTCGCTGCTGGATTGAAAGCATCGATCCAATGAGAGCTCCCAGGCCAACACCACCCCTCAAAGATGTTGTTCTCCTTGTTCTTCACCGCCAAACCTTTGGTCTTGAGTTCGTCCACGACAAAGTATCCCTCCTTGTTCTTGATGTGTGGGTCGATGATGACAACCAGCTTGCGCTCAGTCTCATCAAGCTGCTTCTCCATCGATATGGGATCTGGGAAGTTCAACGGATCCCAGGTGAAATACTTCTTATCGTCCGTATATTCAATATCAAGCCAGATGACATCGTAGGGGATATTGAATTTGTCAAACTTCCGATCAACATCCTTCACGTCCTCGTCGCTAACGTAGTTCCACCTACATTGATGGTAGGCAAGGGCAAACAATGCGGGCATTGCAGTGTAGCCCGTCAGCTCGCCGAATGACTTGGAAACGTCTCCAGGCGTGGGACCGAGCATGACAAACACGTCCAGCAGACCGCTTTCAGATATCCAGTGTGTATGGGTGTCTACAACCCCGCCTGTGAGGCCCAGGGTGAGCGGGTTTGTGTCGTGTTTCGACTTGACAATATCCACCCACGTCTCAGCCGCATTCAGCCAGAAGACACCAACTGTTGAGTCCTTTTTATGAGCATGCATGAATGGTATCGATCCGTACAAGGTCATCGGGGAGTCGAGCTCGTATTCGAAGACGTCACTGTTGTACATCCGGTATGGTTGGTCGTAGTTCCCATCTCCACCACGGGTCTCCTTCAACGACAAAGGCCCCGCGTGCTCTGGGAGACCGTACACGTGGCCGTAGCCAGGGAAGGTGATGTCCAGCGCAACACTTTCCGGTCCCTTGGGCTTCGAGTCAGTGTTACCCCCGAAGCTCTCGTCCCACCAGGTACTTTCATCTTCCGCTGCTTCCATGGGCTGTGCTTCGGTACTGTTCTCATCCGCAGCAGGTTTCTCAACCTTGGGCCGCCAATGCTCGACGTTCAAGAATCCTCGCCCATTGAACACGACATGTTTCTCTTCACCGGACCAAAACTCTATTCCAAAGGGTGCGTGTCGAATAACCGCCTTGAAGTGGCCGTCGGCTCCCCACGAAACTTCTGTAACATCTTTCGATACCTTTTCCATTGAAGCGGTCGTCTGAGGTTGGAGACCGCCTCCGGTAAGGGCCCAGGCAGCGGCTTCATTGTATCTCTCCTTCCTGGCGACACTGCCGTGCCGCAGCTCAATCTCACCTTTCCTCCTCTTTTCTTCGTCGACGGTGACACGAACGTTTCCGTGGTCAAGGAAAGTTATCGTTAAGGGCAGTTTGACTGCGTCACCATCGGCCAGCGATTTGATAACGGAGCCATCCATGCGGCCATCCTTGAACTTGATCGAGGCCGCATCCAGTTGGTAAGGAGAGGATTCAGGGTTGCCCTTCTCTGTCATGGAATCCGCAAGAGCTCTATTTCTCTTACAGAAGCCAGACTGGTCACAACGCTTGAAGTCGTGGTGTTTGACCATCACTGTGATCTGTCAACATGTATATCTCACTAGACCGGTTCGCATGTAAACACTTGCCTGCAGGAGACACGAAGAACAACAAAAGCAGAAAGGAGAGGCATGAGATCGGCCACGACGGCGACCTCCTCGAAGACCGAGCCATTCTTGTGACTGAGACTTGTTGAAGGGCCCAGGCTCGCAAAAGGTACCTCAGGTATCCAAGTCAAGGGTTGGGCGTGGTCGTGAGATACTGTGCCAGCAACATGCAAATGTGTCCAGTGCCAATAGGCCCGAGATGTGCCTGGGACTGGTTTAGCTTCGCCTAGAGTTCCTCTCACTAAGCGGACCCCTGCATTGACCCAAGGAGCCACAAGCTTTGCCCCTCCAAACATCACCACTTTTCCCCCCACCCCATGGAACAAATATTTTTGTCCAGTTCTCTTTTCCGTTCACTACACTGCCTTTCTCTCAGTCACTCTATCCTCAGAACTACGCATCTTGCCAACATTTCCAAACGTGCACATCAAAATGTCTTCTAGCGAACAGACGTAAGCACACTACACTGACATGTCGCTCGGGTCCAACACTAACGTTGTGCAGCTTCATTGCTGTCAAGCCTGATGGCGTTCAGGTAAGAAAAATCCGTCCTTCACGTCAGTATGGTCTTGATATTGACAATACTCACCAGCGTGGCCTTGTTGGCGACATCCTGAGCCGATTCGAGAAGCGCGGGTGAGCGAAACCCTCCATACTGAATAACCAAAAAGAGAAGAGCCAGAGACTAAAGGGCGGTGAAGATACAAGTTGGTTGCCATCAAGATGGTATCCCCTTCCAAGGAGCACCTCGAGAAGCACTACGAAGACCTCTCGGACAAGCCTTTCTTCAAGGGCCTCGTTAGCTGTATGAAGGCTCTCTGCAAGTGGACATCGAATGAGCCGGCTGACAGAATAGCGCAGACATGTTGAGCGGTCCGATCGTAGCCATGGTCTGGGAAGGTCGTGATGCTTGCAAGACTGGTCGATGTAAGTTGCCCAAGACCTTGTGGAAGGATGCATAATACTGATTGCGGCTGCAAGCCATCCTCGGTGCCACCAACCCTCTCGCTTCTGCCCCTGGAACAATTCGAGGTGACTATGCTATCGACGTCGGCCGGAATGTCTGCCACGGCTCCGACGGTGTTGAGAGTGCAAAGAAGGAGATTGCACTGTGGTTCAAGCCTGAGGAACTCCAGAGCTGGAAGTCTGCCCAGCATGACTGGATCTACGAGAAGGCATGAACAACCAGTCTCATCAATTCGCACGCGAACTATGCAACTCCGAGCTTGGGCCACTTGGATATGGCGCCTACAACAATGTCAGCGACAGTGATGAGTCCCGAGCGAACATCAAGAGATAGACTTACCGGAGCTGAGAAATGAAACAAAATGATGATTGCATTACAGTGTTCTGTTGTTTATTCAGTGTCCCGCCGGCTACCACCCCATGATGAAGTCACAGCAAGGTATCATTTCGTTGTTCTTCGAAACAGTGTTTTCGTGGCATTCCCAGCCGGAATGATGGCGATCCGTGCAAACCATGGCGAGCCCCAAACGCTAATGAGGAGGCGCAGAGGCAACAATACTTTCACCAAGGTGTACGCGGTCGCGAACTCGACTACCCATCTTGTGGCGCTTTCTCCTCGATTGAACCACCGCGAGACTGTTTCTTTGTGGCTTTCAAAACTATGTGCATTGCCCTTCTGTGTCTCCTCTTCAACTCTGATCTCGTCTTTTTCAGTGATCCACCCTTTCTTCCGAAAGTATCGCGCGAACTTCTCCACAGCTGCAGAGATCCAAGCACCTTCAGCAAAGTAGGGAGGGAGCCAGTTCCAGTAGTGGAAAGCCCCTGCGAGACCGAATAGTGGTATGACCGCTGTTATTTCATGAAGGATGATGAAGGCTGTAATGTGTGACACTGGCGCCTGTCGCAGGCCAGTGACTGTCGGTCGGAGGAACCTCGGGGTGCGTTCAATAAAGCGATCGAAGCGAGTTCTGAGGGCAGCTTGGTCGTCTTTGAGCTTCGGTGATCTAGGTGGTTCTGTTTTAGGGGTAGACAGCCAACGCCGCAGAAGAGGATTTCGGGTACGAGGACTGACGGCCCTGCTAAGCGAGTGCTTGAGCATCGTGAGGATGTCAGGTCGCAGTGAAGAAAAACCAGCAACCAGCAACTCATGTTGTCCCTGCGCCGTCCTCGTTGATGGGAATGCACCACCGTAAAACCAACGGTGGATCATATGTAGCAACCTCATTCATGTTGAGATCTCCAACTGTTATCAGTAAAGTCGCTCTCGTCGCTCTCTCACCCTTTTAGACGCCGCTCCTGTCATCACTGGGACATCCATAGTCCTACCCACATCTTGCAGGCAGCCCAGATACATGTCTGGTATGTCCACGCAAGCGACCGCGTAGATGGACAGGCTGAACACGACGAACTCACTCCTAGCGGGAACATTGGCACCAGGCTGAAACGATTCACAATATATATGTTCGATCCGCGTTAGAGTCATCACAGCTGTCCCCTTTGGGCTTCACAAGTCGCAGAATTTTGGAATAAGTACTCTCATCATGGATCAGCTCGTTGCCGAACTGGTGGACCATCTCTGTCTGTTCTTGGATCAAAACTCCCTGTGTTCGTTCCGCCTGACTTGCAAGGCATCTGGTGCCATTGCCGAGGAGCATCTCTTCCGTGACTTCGAATTTCGTCTCTTCCCCAGTCATCATAGACTTTACCAGCTGGAGCAACTGGCAGCTACGCCCTCGATAGCCTCCCGCCTACGTTGTGTCTCTTTCGAATCTGGTATCCAGCTGGAATACGCCGACTATCGATACTGGCAGGCCGAAGTGTATCACGACAAGCAGAGAGCTTGGGAGCGAAGCCTTGTTGGTGCCACCAGGGACGAATACACGCAGTTTCATGAACGTCTTCAAGCCAGGTTCACCACGGACCTAGCTCGTCGTTACGATCTGTACCGCTGGCATCTCGATCAACAAGCAGCATCCATGGCTGAACCCCGTGTGAGAAATGTCCTCATGCGTGTAATCGGCATGCTCGGGGAGTCAAACTCGGCCCTGCGGTTCAAGCTGATCATGGCCGAGCCTCAAATCCGGTTGGAGGAACTTGAAGCATTCGACCCTGAACAGTACGCAAACGACAAACCCTATGATCCCGATCCACGACGCAGAGTTGCAAATCGTCGCCAACACTGCCTGGATCACTTTGTCAATTTCCTCCAGGCCGCGAAGCTTTCGGGCTGTGAAGTGGCCGACCTCACTGCAATCGACATCCCCCAGCAGCTTCTTGCCGTGGGTCCTCTTCATGGATCCCATGTGCTGGAAGAGACTTTTCAGGGGCTGAAGAAACTCCGCATGAAAATCAGTTCCTTCCCCCATAGTGACTGGCTTTCTCGTAGTGGAACTGGACAAATCTATTTTGGCGGGAGGAATGTGGCTGCAAAAAGCCTCAGGGTGTTGTTGAACCAAACTTCGCAGCTGGAGCACTTGGACTTGGAATTCCCAGCTGGGCTCGAGGCCGAGTATTCGTTTGATCTTTTTGATAGGACCAACATCGACCGCTTCCCCCGGTTGTGGCTCCCACATCTCAAGTCTCTGACACTCAGTCTTTTCAGGTGTACCTGGGCAGACTTGAAAGCTTTTTTGGACGAGGGCAGGAATCTTGACTCATTGGTGATGAAGGATTGTCGACTTGAGACAGGGTCGTTGATAGATTTGCTCGAGTATCTGCGCCGGAGACACCTTGGGAAGGTTCAGCTCCTTGGAAGCTGGTATGTCGATGTAGGTTGGCCCCAAACCCTGGCGCAGTTGGATGTGTGCTTTGTGCCAACGAATTTTGTCCTTTTGAAGCCATTTTGTTCATGCTGACAATGCTATAGGAGGACTGTGGTGAATGGCACTCGCACAGTGAGGAGGATTTTACAAGCTGCTTTGCGACAAACTCATATGAGGGTCCCTATGCTCATTCAGGAATGCGGTTGAGGATAGAAGAGTTCATCACCGGCAAAGGAGAGTGTCCCTTGCCACGGTGGACAACAGAAGATGACCCCCCTCGGCTGTGGGAAATCGCGTCGGATACGAGCTGGCACTTTATTCCGGGACAGCCTCATCGCTAGACACGCGTACTGGTCCAAGCGGAACTGCCCTCGGGCAATGCAGGCTGCAAACACGTCGTAAGGCTGTTCTTCACTTACTTCCCCCGTATCGCAGAGAAGACAACCACATTCACGAATGTTGCTCGCCAGGTGTTTAAGGTTGCTATATATTTCAGTTATCAAAGAACCCCCCTTGTCATTGAAGTTCGCTCGCCAGTGCAAACTTTGCCGATCTCACCAAACGACTGCTACCGTGGCCTGCTTCATCCACCTCTAGGTGCTAGGTCTTGGGGATTATCAATTTCCTGCCTTGTTTGGTTTGGGTCACACATGTACGAGTGCTTTGGCACCGGTCGAGCGCTGCTGCTGGGTGTTTGACTCCGTCGTGAGTCCATTCCACTCAGCCTTTTGAGGCAACTGTTTCAATGAGACTGGGTAACCAAATGTATCAGGGACTGCTCAGGCTCATGAAGCGCAGTCTTGGAGGACTAGACATAGCGCGGTCGGTACCAATAATAATATACCAAAGTCCATGTCTGTTTCCAGACTAAAGCACTGAACTGAGTCATGACGAAGCCGTGGTGAACGGTGCCTGTGCCGACCAATCATGAGATACTGGTGATATGGAGAATCACGTGCGTTCAGCCACACAACCCCAACATGACAACCTATACTGTCTTATTGTTTGTTGTCGCCCGTGGTCAATCTCGACTGTAAGATTTTGTTGCTAGGAAATACGCCTTGCCGACTCGCTGCCTTGGCTTCTGTGGATCGGCCGTTTCGGTTGCGAGCAGAGACGGAATGCGACGCCGCTTCGACGTCTATCAAAACACTATCCCTTCTCCGGACTAATGTCTCCCAAACCTGTGCGAGTCGCACATCGGGCGCTTCGACAAATACCGAGGACCCCCTTGGACATGAGGGAAGTGGTCGAAATGCCTTCTGATCCTAGGTAGAGGCGTGATTTGCTGCCTCGCTAGTCGTGAAGTAGCAGTTACATTCAGATGCCTTGTCTTATCACCCTTGGGCAGGCATTTCGCCTTGAGTCCTGGACAGCACTAGCTTAGCAGCGCCCGTTTTGAGGCTTGGATGGCAGTCAACCGGCGTGATGTTGCGTACCTAGCCCATCACTAGCCTTGCGGCAGTTCGCCAGGTTGTCTTGGTTGTCCTCCCTTGTCACTGGCTGAAGAGGTGTTTGTGTTTGCGCACACTGTGCACTAGAGGGGTGGACAATGCAAGAACCCAGTACTTTAGACTCAGACCGTTCCCAGTACAAGCATTGCGGGCGATGCTCAGGCGGGGCGTGACAGATTAAAGATGGTGGTCTGCCACTGTTTGGTGAAAGAGGCGGGCTTCTCAATTACTACGTTGCCTCGACCTCGAGGTCCTGCTGGGAACGCGCAGTCTTTGAGGGATTCGTACCACGATTCCGGGTCGAATAAGGCTCAAGCAGCTTCTCCAGATGGCGGCGGGGTCTTTTCTTCAGTTCATTGCGCTCCTGGCTACCTCGACCTTGCTGCTGCACCAATCCGTGGCGCAAAATGTCTCGCTAACGGTCGACCTCGATGCCCTGAACCCTTTAAACACATGTAACCGAGGGTATGGAAAAAGTGAGCTCATACCAAAGATACTAGTCGAAAACAGACTGATCAGGCTCTAGTCGTGACCGTGGACAACAAAGTCTATATCTACGGAGGAGTCAGCATCGTTTTAAACGGCACGACCAATACCTTGTGGATACTCAGTGAGCCCTGGCCCCTCTGCAGTCAAATGGCCTTGAAGTGATGCGATGGAATTTACTATAGACCGGTACCTTCGCACTGTGGACTTTTCAAGCTCGCGCGATTTGTCCGATCCTTCTCTGATCACGGTCGAACCTCTACCCGATTTTGTGCCAACTTTTGACGAAGGGGCCTTCTGGGAAGACGGTCGGAAGCTCTATGTTGTGGCTGGTCTGCAGGGATGCTGGTATCACCTCACAGACCAGGGAACGTTCGTGGACTCGGACTGGAGCCTTGCCGAACTGTCGGGCCAAAGCATATACTATTATGATGTTGGGTCGGGCCAATGGTCGGTGGACACTGCGCTGCAGAACAATTCGCAGACGGGTCTTCCGATAGAATCGCCATTTTCCTGGAACTATTACGGGTGGAACTCACGTCGTGCAATAGGTTACGTCCACAACGGCATCAGGGCCGCCGGACACAAGCGCCTCAACCCTAACACCGACGTATACATTCTCGACCCGGGAGTTTACCAAATTGGGGAAAAGTTCATCGCGTCCTTCGACACCACTGACTGGACTTGGACCAACAAGACTATCTCGTCGGACCTTGTGGAGGAGTGGAGTGAACGTGGCAACTTGGTGTTTCTCCCGGGGACCGAGTCAGACACGGGTGGACTGGCCGTCGCCCTTGGAGGTGACACAAGACCTGTGAGTGCGGTTGCTGTTGTCGCGAGACTATTGAACCCTTGATTGACCCACGCACCGACGCAGAGCACCCAATATTTGAGCTTGAGACGAATTCTCATGTACGATTCCGGGGCAGACGAGTGGTTTGAGCAAGACACCACGGCCGAAGGGGGAACGTATCCCGCGCCACGAGGCTCCTTCTGTTCTGTCGCCCTGAGCGCGGCGGATGGCAGCAGCCACAATATCTACATATATGGTGGACTGCAAGCCAGCAGCGACGACGCGCTCGGTGATATCTGGATCCTCACGCTGCCGGCCTTCCATTGGATCCCTGTCAGCGCAAGCTCGGTCCCGCGGTCTGCCCCGGCCTGTGGCGTGGTGGCGGATAGGTATCTGGTCACATATGGCGGCATGCTTGAGTCGATCAAATGGCCGATCCCGTCGCGATACGAATGGCCATGCGATCAAGAGCAATCTGGTCTGAGATTGTTCGACATGACACACCTAAATTGGACATCGACTTATGAAGCCCCGCCTCAGGTGTCTTCTGGGACGTCGAATTTATATGCCATCCCCAGCCAAGTGTACGGCATCATCGGCGGACATGCAAGCGGCGGTGCGACAGCCACGACACCCAGTGGCGGGTTTGGGACGAACACCGCACTAGCCTCGATCTTTGCCAACGCCGTCAAAGTTTCGAGCACTCCTTCCAGTAGCATCAGCACATCTTCGGGTGTTACTCGCACAGGTTCGGTGACAGCTTCGGCCACCACCAGTGCCGCCACAACAGCCGAGTCATCACATTCGAGCCGTTCCCATGCCGGAGCGATCGCCGGTGGCGTGGTGGGTGGTGTCGCCGGCCTTGTGATTATCCTTGTCACCGGATTCTGGTTCCTCCGGCGAAGAAGAAGGAAGAGGGCCATCCCTGCAGCCCCTAAGGCGAACAAGGACCCCGGTCCACATGAGACGGACGGGATCAGCTTGCGCAAGGTCGACAGCAGTACGGGGAAATACGAGGCTGATGGAAACGCGATGCACGAGGTTGATGGGACTGAGAGGCAAGAAGCTGATGGAAACGAACGGTACGAGGCTGATGGGACGGAGACGACGGCAAGAGCGACGGGTCTGAGAGGGACTCATGAGCTCGAGGCGCCTTTGAGATGAGTCTCCTGGTTGTCGGTTCATGTTATCACGCACGTTATGATAGTATAGTATAACTAGTTGATGGTCTGGTCATGACACGTCTCACCGCATAGTGTAACCCAGTACATCGCTTCTCTACCCGTAGTGATGAGCCGCGGGTCGTTTGTTATTAGTACTATGGATAGCGAGAGTGGAAATGGAGATGGAAATGGAATATGGGGAAATGACCGTGTCTAAGCGTATTAGAACTTTACCAGATCCATCGACTTCTCCGGGCTGCTTTTATAGTCACCACCTAAACTCCCACCGGAACTTGGTCGCGTTCGGCTAAAGCGGCCACGCAGCTTACTAACAAACCAACCATCAGGCCGGAGCCACGGTGCCAATTGCATCTCCGAGGGTCCCAGGTTCTGACAGAATGCACAGAAACTCCAACCTCGTATTATTTATTCACAAGTCTCGTCTAACGGATATCACAGGGTCTCATAGGGCTAAGCAAAAGGACTAGGTGCTTACAAGAGCCCCCACGCAAAAAAACCTGACTCAACATTCGCCAACGATCGAACCTTTCCACTTCCAGCAACTTTCGCCTTCTTTCGCAGCTAATCAGGTCCTTAAGGCTGGGGGGGAGTTTCGTCCCCAGAGCATCGTGCCAAATACCAAGTTGCTAGCAAAAGAGGGAGATCAAAAGGAGTAGGTGGTCGATGGATTTGCGGATGGCCTGATAATAAGAGTTAGTAACAAACCAACCGACCAACCAGGAGGAGGTATGAATTTCTGGAATGGGATATGGTATGAGATGATATATGGACTCGGTATGCTCTACCCGACTCGTATAAAGAGCCGATACAGTCTCTCTTTTTTCTTTTCTTACCGACCCCTGGCTCTGTAGACAGAGAGAAGGACTTGTGACTTTCGGCCTCGGAATATATACAAACAGCTTGAGAGCTTGACAGTTTGACAGACAGACGCACAGAGTTCTGTACCTGGCAAGTCTAACCCTTCGCAGACCCAATGTTCTGTATGATGCCATAATCACATCGAGGCTAATTCTGCAAACTCCAGACATTCTTCGCTATTATTACCACCACCACCACTACCACCAACACCAACTATTCCATTCCATCCACACCCGCGCGGCTTGAGACGGCGACAAAACAAGTCCTGATAGTCCTCATACTTTTTGGGTTGCTACCCGTTCAGGAGCGTGATTGTGGTTGTGATTTTTGATCGTGGAATCTGGCATGATCGTGCGAAACACTCGCGCCTCTTGATTTGTCGTCGTCCTGTTGGTGTCTCGAGCTATTGTTGGTCAAAAACTTGGTTACTGCCCCTCTTTGAGGATTCGGCTCCGCAACCAAAACACGACATGTCGGACAAATCGTCGTCGTCGCCGTCACCGAATTGGCTGGCGAAGCTAAGACGGTCGCCCCGTGAGTATTCAATTTTTTCATCCTTTTCTCCCGAAACAGGCAGTCGGGTGTGCATGGATGCGTGTCTACCCCCATGTATACCTTACTGAGGCGGTTGATCACAATTTCGTTTGATGATTGGATCAATGTCAATGGATCATGAATCAATGAATCAAACCAGAGTTTCAAATGCTAGCCTGCCATACTAGCTATGCTCTCCATCGTTGACATCCCCGATCGTCCCCTCTGCAGCTCTAATATGGACTGTCTACTACCACCTAATTGTAACTAATCTCTTCAAATACCACCAGAACCAAAAGCGGCCGAGAAGACGAAACCAGCCGAAGGTGGTGATCCGGAGCCGGATGCCAAAGCGAGAAGACGTGAGCAAGTCAGACGAGCGCAGAGGTGAGGCTATTTTGATTGTCAGGCACCACCGCCATTCCTGGGACAGCGGCGACACCAATGTATCAGTGGCTATCGGGGTATATGATAAGTTTAGATGATCTGACACGAAACCCCAACACATAACAGAACCCATCGAGACCGAAAAGCCACATATGTCAAGACGCTGGAAGCCGAAGTAGCCAAACTACGAGCCCGCGATTCGGCGCACGAGGCCCAACTCCAAGCGTGCCGCCACGCCATCCGTCGCCTCAAGGATCTGATCAAGTATCACAAGATCCCCCTGCCGTTGGATTTGGCATCAGATCCCCAGATCCAGAGCCCCCAGGCCACCATCGAGCTCCTCGGCCTTCCGGATTCCCGGACGCAGCACATTCGTGCCCACCTGCCGCCCGAGACCGAGTCGGGATTTGTCGCACCACAGAATATATTAACCTCGTCCGACCTCTCTCACTACGGCACCCTCCACTCCGGCTCGACCAGTTGTTCCAGCGATCTCTTCTCTGGCTTGACCATCAGCGACGCTCCCACCAGTCTCCACGCACCCAGCATCTACTCTCAAGCCACGAGCTCTGGTCTCCCGCCGCCGCCCCCGATTTCTACCCCCATGCAGCACCCGCAAGGTCTCGGCGCGACGCAGGTGGGAGTCGACTTTGTTCTTGCCCTGGAACATGTCTGTCTAGGCCACCACGCCGCACACGCCGCCGCGGACGACGGATCGGGCCACGAACTGATGCTCATGTCGCCGATCATGTGGCATTCGCCCGCGCGTGGGCCAAGCACCACCATCTCCGCACAACACCATTCTACAACAGCACCAGACGTCACGACAGCGACCGGCCTGCCCAGCGGAACGAGATGGAGCGTCCCAGCCGTGGAATTGGAAAAGTTGCTGGACTTTTCGGACAAGCTCTCCCTAGACGGGGAGATCACACCGGTAGAAGCGTGGCAGAGGGTTCGCCAGCATCCGAATTTTGGAGACTTGACCAGAGACGGGCTCGAGGCGCTCAAGGCGACGTTGTTGCCTGAGGTCCGGTGTTACGGGTGAGCCGCCCCCTTTTTTCCCCGCCCTATTCCCGCCCGATCATCTCCTTTACTGCTGGTGTTATTGGCAAGCCAAACCAGTCCACGCCCAAGCCTCTTCTAAGAAACCAAATAAAGGGACTGTATAAAGCGGACCTGATACACCATCTGTCTGGATTTCCTTCAAGAGCGTGTACTGTGTATTGTGTACTGTGTCGCCTGGTGCGGCACCCGCAAAATGGTTATGGTTATGGTGATAGATGACACGATATTCTTCCCGCCGTTCTAAAGTCCTTGATGGTTAATTAATTCGTCCTTTCGCGACTCTTTGCAGATTCGGCGCTGTCATCGACGAGGTCTATTTCGAGTCACTACTCCAGCAAGCGCTTGGGAGCGGGACGAGGACAGGAGGAACGACAGGGACGGGGCCTGGTTCGTTGTAACTTGGATGGATATGGATATGGACATGGTCGTGTCAGCGGGTCCCATCCTTGTCCTTGTCCTTGTTAACAATCGCGCTCTCGTTCTCGTTCCCGTTCCCATTCCCGGTGTCTCTCGGTCTCACTCTCGCTCTCGCTCTCGCAGTCACATTCGTCTACCGAGAATCGCCAACCACGTCATATCTCCACGTTACCCTGCCTGACACGTACGAGCAACCGGGGACGAACAAGGGAGAGAATCTTACAGCATCATTTGACGAACGAATCAACAGACCAACCAAACAGCCGTGCAGGTTGATCTAACCACCTACATTCTCTGACTCGGCTGTTTACCTACATACGTACCTCCCTGCCTACGTACCTGCTTACCTACTCACCCACCTATCTATTATCTACGTACGATCCCCTCCTCCGACTCACCTACCCACCGCCACCGCCGCCTCCACAGCGATGACTTCCTCCTCCCGCGCCCGACCATCACACAAGTAGACACGTCGTACGTACCCGAGTGTCGACGTATTCGAGCACCGTACGGTGCGGCACTTTACGGTACGGCGGAAAGGTATGAGGTAAGAGGTAGAAAGAAGTATCGAATATGTCCAGGTCACACGTTCTCCAGAGAAAGAGGGAAACATACTCATACATACGTCCAGCGGGGGAGATTTTTCAATGGGAAAGGCGGAAAGGGCCAACAGGTCCGGGGGTTGGAGGGGGGGGGGGGGGGGGGGGGGGTAAAGAGAAACCAATGGCTGATCTGCTGGTAATAATGGGGAAACAAGGGAGAGAGGAACTCTGGTAGAGAAATGAAGGGATGCGAAGATCGGAACAAGGACATGCGGTACGAGGTACTGTGTAGATGTGCGTCTGTGTGCACATCTGTCTGTTTCTGTTTCTGCGTATCCGTATGAGAATGTATCTGTGTCTGTGTCTCTAGCGTATGTACCTAGTATACCCACTCAATTTCCAGGCCCCTTTGATCACATCATCATTCCCACACCATGACCACTGCGAGGTACCAAGGCTACTAACTAACCAACTAACTAATTAGCGAGGCACTGCTAGGTAAGATATCGAGTACTCGGTACTCGGTACGAGGTAGATATATCCCAGTTCAAAACCGTCTCTAGTCCAGGCGCCCCCGCCCTAGCTTTAGCCCTGAGGTATACATAATAAAGGGATGATACGTCGAGTGTGAGACATAATCATCCTTGTATGTTGTAGCATGAAGAAAACAGTGACGCTCCAACGTTGAGTTTCACACGACCAAACACTGCGACAACCAAATCTCGGATTCAGGATATCAAAAGGTCGCCGTCAACAAATATATCGACCCTGACAAGGTACTCGGTATCATACAGTCACCAGTGCAAGACGCCGACACCCTCGGGTTCCCATTGCAAACCAACGCCGGCCCCACTGGTTCAGTCGCGATGGAATGCTTCCTCCATATTATCCAACAACAAAGACCACACGCAGCAGCGGCTAGTCAAGCACTCCATTCCCTCAAGTTCCTCAAATCCTCCAAGGTGTGTTTGATTGTTACAATATCCAATCCCCGTCTCCCAATTTTTGCATATGTCCCTGGGGTTGCCGTCACATTTCCAGATCAAAGCACATCTCAACAAATGTCTCGTCAATATGTCCAGTGCTCACATATCCCATGCGCTATTGACACCTCCACCCGGAGCAAATGGCCCGGTCATATTCTCCCAAGTGGCAGATCCAAATATATCCGCAACATTGTAGTCCATGTTCCCCCAAAACATGGGATCCGAGTACTCTTGTAAGTTCGTGTTGCTTCCGTCACCTCCCATAGCACCAATCCCCGATTGCCCTGGGAGATTCATGTTCATGGTTGACTGCGCAAATGCCAGGTCCTGCGGAGTAGCATATACAGCGCTGCCGATGCCAGGATTGAATTGAGGCTGTGTGGTCGGTTGACCGCGGTCCCAATTCGAAAAGTCAAACGTGGAGAGGCTGCCCGTTGGGTTGGTGAGGGCTGAGGGGTTGCTGGGGTCAAACGTGGTCGAGGGTGTCCATGTTTGCGTGCTGTTGGGCGTCGAAGCTTGAGGTTTTAGCCGCGACTGGGAATTGTTTCCAGCTGCAGTCGAGTTATAGCCTTGGATCGGCGAACTGGTCGTGGATTCGGCGACAGAGGACTTTCGCGGACTTGCGTCTTCGTTGCCACTGGTGGTGCGCTGCCTTTTTCGAGATGGCTGATCAAATTCGACAGGCATACTCTGCGGCGATTGATCCGGCTTAGGAACGGTCAGGAACCCATTGACCGATGCTTTTCGTGATTGGATGTTAATGAGGAGGAGGCTCAGCACTTTGTGGCAATTTTGCACCGTGTACCATCTGATATTCATGCTTTCCAGCAGATGCAAGCACGCTTGCATGTCACTCAGTGCTCGTGCTTTGGCGTATTTGCCCAGTTGGCAGGCAAAGGCAATAATGAGACCAGACATCCATGCTGCAGACAGCAGACCAGGCAGAAACATGGACTGGCCGTGTTTTTTATGCGCTCTCAGACCAGCTACGATCCCTCGCGAAGCTCGAATGCACACCTGGAGACCGTGTTGGAATTCAGGGGTTGACTGGTCCAGGGAAAGGCGAGGCCGATTCACCAAAAGGAGCAGCCGGTGGTACAGGATCTTGAAAAAGCTTGCAAGATGTTGTTGTGGAGGAGGGAGGGGAGACGAATCGGAGCCATTTCCCGTAGCTCCATTATTGCCGTTAGCTGCCGACGCGGTTGGATGGGTGTTCGCGTCGCTCGATTCATGGTTGGTCCTCTCGTGGCCAGCCTCGACCTCTCCACTCAAAAATCCAGGAAGATCATTCCACCACGTCTCAATATCACTGGTAAGGCGGAGAATTTGTTCGTGCTTGGGAAAACGGTGATTGATGCTTTTGTGGAAAACTTCGATGATCTGGCCTGTCAACTTTCCCCATTGCACATACGCAGTCAGAGCAGCCTCTCGTAGTCGCTTCTCCTGAGCCTCAGGTCCGTCATTGTCAGCCTGCGCCACGCGTGGGTCATCCTGGACCGCACGTGGAGGTGGCATGTGCATGCTCATGTCCCCCTCGGGATTGGGCATTAGATCTCGTGCATGAGCCTTGTGAAGCTCTGGACCGGATAAACAGACATCAATGTCATCGTCTTGTATCACGTTGGGATCGCCCAGACTCAAATTGCAATGTCGGTCCAGAGCATATGCCGACCAAAATATCCGTTTGCGGATCTCACACTCTTCGAGAGATAGTTGGGCATAGCGCAGCGGACATCGGTGAAGGCCGGCATGATAGATCAGTTTGATAATGATTCCAGCAACCGTGCTGGCTTGGCGAATAGCCAGGGTTGCGGTCAGGTAGAGTTCGGCAGCGAGGATGGCTTGTATAGTGGCCAGATCGTGGTCCATCGCCAAGCACCCGGCCACTCGACACACATCGGCGGTGGACTTGACGCGCGATTCCATGGGAAGATGAATATCACTCCGATCCAGGGAGGCGATATTGATAATCAACTGAAATGTCAGTAACTTCCGCAGGTCCGTGTGAGCAGGACTGTCCTTGGTCGGTTTCGAAGGACGGCGCTGTGACGCATATATCGTCTCCATGTCCTTGATAAAACTAGGTCCGTGGAGAAAGGGGAAAAGCGGGTGCCAGACGGTAAAGAAAGAGGTGACCAATTCGATGGCGATCTTCTTTGCTGGGGGCTTACCCAGAGCCGAGGCCAGCGTCTGAAAAAACTGATCGGAAGAACTTGGGCCCTCATACAGTGGACCGTTGTACGAACGACCCTCGGCGTCCTCGCCAGTGAGAATGTCTTCGCTCGCGGGGACGGGGTTTGCGCCTCCTAGATTCGAAGACGCAAAGGCTGCAGAAAAGGCTCGCCGCACGGTGTTGACGAAATACACGCCGGACGAACTGCCCAGCCAAGCAGTGCCATGATTACCGAGCTTTTTCAGAGTGCCAATCTCTGATGTGTGAGTTGGACGCTCTTCAGGGTGAGCATCGCTGTCCGACTCATTGGTGACGGCAGTTCCGGACGTCGACGAAGGCACCGCGGGAGGCGTGGGCTGGCCGACGCTGGGGGACGGATTATTGCTGACAGTCGATCGTGGAGTCATTGTAGCTGGCGCCGAAATAGACCGAGATTAAAGCTGAAAGACGATGATGCTCTACTGCAAGATGGGATTTTGCGCCGACATGGTCGTTGCACTGATTGATGGTCACAGAAAGGCTCAGTCCGGGTCGATGACTGAAGATTAGGATGGACAGAACTAGATCAATGATGTTGTCTGCGAAAGTGGCAGAAGTGCGCGCATGTGGGTGTGAGGCCGGATGTGCGGTGTGTGATGTGTTATCGGGAGGGGGTGGCAGGAAGAGTCGCAGGCGGCCGGCGATAATAAGAAGTAGTAGCAACAGTGGCAGCGACACTGACGGTCGACAGAAGACAAGGTCGACAAGTACTAATTAGCAAGAAATGCGGGCGTTGATCTGTGGTCGTTGGGCGAGAAAAAGCTAGGGTGGAAAATTGTGAGGGCGAGATTAGGATGGCGGGAGTGGGGAGGAACTCGAGGTC